TCATTTTTTTAATAAACTGAAAGCCGACTGCCCATTGCATATTTTAAAGTGCTCCACTCAAACAACCTTAAAGTTTAGCCAAAAAAGTTCAGACATTTTTTCTCTCAATTCTTCACCATAGGTGGTCATATGTGACTTGAGCCAATAGAAATGCATGGCTGACGCTGTGCCAGCCAATCAGTGATGAGTTCTCATAATGATTGATAGTTGTCTGCTGTCCTGGCCTGAACTAAAAAAGCAATCTGCATTAGCAGCCTGTGCTCCCTCTGCTTTACTACTGTGAATGTGGGTGTCTGTATTATCTGCACTGAACCACCTCATCAATCCATCACATTGTTATTACAGTACTATTAAATGGGGAGGAATCAATATTTTAAAATCTATCTGCTTTCATCAAGCTAAACCTCACAGACCACAAGTTATTGTTCGCATGTTGCAGCATCATATATATATATATATGTAGAGAGAGAGAGAGAGAGAGAGAGAGAGAGAGAGAGATACATACACACACACACATCTATCTATCTATCTATCTATCTATATATATATATATATAGTTGACCCCTTAAACTCTTAAACTGTTATTTACTCTCATAGTGAAAACATCTGAACAATTTATTATATAAATGATAGTAGATAGTTATTTATTGCAGTTTTTAAGTAATGTATAGTTGAACGTTTATTGAATACTTAATGTATAGCAGTTGTTGAATAATTTATAGCAGATATTGAATAATTTATAGTAAATAGTAAATAATTGATAGTAAATACTGAATAATTATAGTTGTTAAATAACATATATTGAATACTGGGAAATTTAAAGTAGTTACTGAATAATTTATAGCAGTTATTGAATAATTCATAGTAAGATTGGTTGGATCATGTTACTCACGGCATCACTGCATTACAAAAACAAAATTCTATTGTTTGTCCTGAATCCTAAAAAGTAGGCAAAAACCTGTAAATTGCTTTAATATGCAGGCTGTTTAAGCACAGCTCAGTCCAGACCTGAATATTTGGTCTTACAAGCAGTCTAAGCATTATGCTAATGCTAAGCTTGTAGCCTGAAAATGAGGCATAAAAGTTGTGATCTTCAGCAAATTTGAGAAACACTAATGCCCTGCAGTCCATTTTAGCACTTTCCTGGAAAGTGAAAACAACATGTGAAACAATTCAATTAAGAAAACACACTGAGAGGGCTAATTTAGCACAGCACTGGCCTTAATCAAGCTGAAAAACAGCTCTAAAGGGCAGATATGTAATGAACAGAGGCGGTGCTGTCAAAGTAAAGATCCATTACAGCTCTGTCCTCCTCCTCCTCCATTTATCTCACTGACACATACCACCTTGTTTACTATCCAAACAAAGCACACCGTTAGCGTAGCAGTTATTTCCCCTCACACAAGCAGCCAGCAGGCCAATGCTAACGCTAAATATAGCACAGCTGCCTGGGACACCTGCTGGACAACAGCTCGACCCTAACAGGATGAGTTACTGCTGTTTTGCTGTACATTAAATGATATTACATGATTATTTACATACATTTACATTGTTGATTATATATATGCTTTGCAAAAAAGTGCTCTATACAATACTTTTAACAACAGTGGAACCCTTTCTGGTGCTATATAGAATCAATTTTTAAAAGGTTTTTTTAAGAACCATATATAACAGTGTGACTCATAGAGAATAACCATTTAACCCTGCAAAGAACCATTTAGGCACTCAAATATTTATTTGAGTTGTCATGGTTTTATATGTAAACATTGCCTTTACAGAAGAACAACAAGGGTTCTATACAGTTCCAAAAATGGGTCTTAGTGGAACCCTTTTTGGTGCTATAGAGAATGTTTTAAAGGTTCTTAAAAAACCTATACAACAGTTAGAATAGATGATAGTGAAGAACCATGTAAGCATTCTTTGAGTTGTCATGGTTCTATGTAACCATTGCCTTTACTGAAGAACCTATGAAGGACTCTTTTTTTAAGGGCATTCTTAGCAGCAACTATAGAACCAAAACTGTGAGTCCCTGATGCTGTATAGAACCATTTAAAAGGTTTCTTCACATAAAATAACAACATAAAACAGCTTATCCATTATAGAGAACCATTTAACCGTGAACCATTTAAATGGCTCTTTGAGATGAGTCATGGTTCTATATGTGTGCATTGCCTTTTACAAAAGAAACTTGAACAACCCCCTTGTCTTAAAATATCTTAGTAAAAAAGGGTTCTACAGGACGAAAAGTACCAAAAAAGTTATTTGACTGTAACAGTAGTGGAGTCATTTTTAATACTTTAAAGAACCATATACAACAGTTTTTTCATCATAGTGAAGAAACATTAAATCCCACACAGAATGATTTAAGCCTTCAAATGGTTCTTTGAGTTGTTATGGTTGTATATATAACCGTTGCCTTTGCTAAAGAACCTATGAAGAACCCCCCTTTTTAAGCAAAAAGGTTCAATGTAGTACCAAAAAATCTATTTAACTTGTAGCAATAGTGGAACCCTTTTTAGTGCTTAATACAACCATTTTAAAAGGTTCTTTTTAGCACAATAAACCAAGAGGCTTACAGTTTTAAAGAAACATTTAACAATGAACCATTAAAACTGTAACGTCCTGTCTTGCTCTGCCCTCATCTTTCTTTGTTTACATTGCCTCCTGAGTCTAGCCATGTACTTTTGTTGTTGTTTTGGTCTCTGTCTCCTCCCGTCCTGCCTCCTTATTATCTGTCTCTCCTGTGTCTAGTCTGTAGCCCTGCCTCTCATTAGTCCCAGGCGTTTCGTTTCAATTCAGTGTATTTATACCCATGTTTGCTCAGTCGGGTGGTCTTGCATTGCGTATGTGATCGCTTTTAGTTGTTCCCAGGCTGCATCGGTGTTGTTGCATGTTTAGTTTGTCTTCCTTTACATTTAGTTTTGATTCTCTGTTTTATTTCACTGTAAACTTATCTGCTCTACTCACCACTGCTAATCAGTTTCTGGACTTGCGTCCAGCCTCATCGTCTCCATCATTACAAAAACATTCAAATTGTTCTTTAAGTTGTCATGGTTCTTTATAAAACCACTGCCTTTACTACAGAACCACTTTGTAAGGGTGTAGTTAAGTAATAAATCATATTTAATTCTAAATGGACACAAACTTTACTTGTTTATCTGTAAACTGATATCAGGGGGATTAAAGGCTAAAATTCCTAATAATTTTTACAGCGATTGTGCATAATATTATTTCATCAATTATTTCATCAGTTATGCAAAAAAGGCTAAAAAAATAATGGTCATTTGGGCATAATGTAATCTGTTTATCTGCAATTACACGTTTTACCACTAGGTTTCTGCATATGGATACCAAGGAGTAGTTCTAAATATACACACAAGAAAAACTGATAAATCATGTTTTATGCATTAGGAAACTGGACATATGCACTGTTGATAAACGAGAGCCCTGATGCAGTTTTGTCAGTAAAGTAATTATAAAATTTAAAAAATCAGGTAAATTAATAAATTAAGTCCAGAAGTGTAGTATGAGATGGTTGGAGGAGAGGTGATAGTAATATCTTATTAAAATCACTGCAGCACACATGAAAAAGAATTATTTTATTGACACTAACTGGCAAATTAATAACATACCCCACATGAAAAAACATCCAGACAAAGCTTGCAGAGCGGCTCAATGGAGACGTAACGGAAAAGAATCAATCGTGTTTCAGTCCGGGGCTGAATCAGCGCAGAAACATGAACAGCAGAAAGTGTTACATTCATAACCGCAGAGTTTTTAAGCATTATTAAACAGTGCAGATTTCCACACAACTGCGTTGAGAGTGAAATTCATCAGAGAGCATTAAGCCTGCAGTTAGAACTCGCACAGTAACAGTCATGTGCAGTGATGCTGCTGGCTTTTAGATCTTAATTCAGAGAAACAGTGGTGCACATGTGCACTAAGAAACACTCTACAGTACTGTGTGAAGGTCAGAGACCCTTCATTTTGTTTCATTTTCAGTCAAAACAGCCTATGTTGTTGTTATAAGAAGGAGAAAAGTCAAGAGATAACCTTCCAAAACTGGTGCTGAAAAGGTGACTGAAGCTACAGAGAAAATGGGGCTCCTAACAACCACCTGGAAGACCTGATGGACACCAAAACTGTCCCCATTAGATAAACAGCACTTAAAGCTTCATCTTTGAGAGAGAGGAGAAAATTAAGCTGCTTCAGATCTGAAAACATCCACAGGTGTTTCTGTCCATCCTTCTACTGTGAGAAGACAACTCAGCGCTATGGGTCTGAAAGGATGTGTAGCTGTCAACAAGCCTCACTGAGAAAAGGAGACGGACACATCAAACAAAGAAGCTGAACAATGGACTGACCACCCCAGAGTCCAGACCTCAACATCACTGAATGTGTTTGATTACTTCAGAAAATGATCAACCAACTTCTAAGACTGAACTTTGGAGGTGTGTCTGCAGATTTCTTGAAGAAACTGAAAGTGAGTCTCCTGAACAGAATGGAAGCTGTAATAAACGTAAAGAGTGACACACTGAACACTCATAGATTTAGTTGACAAGTTCATTACACAATGAATAACATGCACTCGGCTGTTCTGACTGGAAATTAAATAAATGAATGGTGGTCTCTCACTTTATCACAGTACTGTACATGTTAAAACGGTCAAGTCAAGCATGAAAACATGGCGATAAATGTTCTCTTAAAGGCAAATACATATTTATATCATGCTAGAAACAACAGCTTATGCTCACACTTTCATTGGTCTAATGCTTTGTCTTGCTTTTACAAATCTGACCAAAAAATCTAAATACTATTTATCAATAGCTTCTGTAACAAAACTGCTTTCAAAAACACACACAAAACTGATACAAAATCTCTTTTAGGTTTTGGCTGCTTTTTACTGTCCTTGTACCCTAAAACTGAGCAAAACAAGTGCAGCCTGCTTGTTTACATGGGAGAACTAAACAACAATAACAAGAAGTTAATCGCCCACAGGTATTATCTAATTCATAGATTGAGAATGGTAATTTATATAAGCAAAAACAAAATTTTGATAGTAGAAGAAAGCATTAAAGGACTTAACAAAACATTCTTAGAAATAAAGGTATGAGATTGTGTTCTTTGCCTTGGAAGAAACACTTTTGGTGCCCTAAAGGACCACTATTGTAAATGAAATGTAGAAAGAGCATTTTATACCATTTAAAGATTTTCCTAGAACCATACATCCAAGCAAAGAACCACTCTGGAACCTTTATTTATGAGAATGAATCACCAAATGAGAAAAAAGGAGAAAAAGAATAAGAAAAAGAAAACACAAACTATGATTTTTAATGGTGAGTTTCTGTGTTATTTCTGTTCTGGAGTCACGTCTCTGATGAAAATCAGATGTTTCCAATCTCACGTATTTCATATATATATATAGGTAAAAATCATACAAATTCTTGTATAAAGGACAGCAAGCGGTAACCTGCCCTTCTTTACTCTCCAACGACAAAGTACCTAATTTAATCACCAGTCTATTCTAAATACAGACCATTCTCTTCACTTCTGGCTCGCTGGTCACTACCCATCTCTTCTTAAACATATACATTATGTAATCCACAGCTTTCAGTAATTGTATTGTCTGTACAAGCAAATGACATTAAGTGCATTTCAACAAAGTATGTGTGGATGTAATGTAAGCTAACACATGCTAATGAAACTCATTGCAAAACAATTGAAAAAAAATGATCTAAACTCAACAAAAGTGCAAAACTGTCTTATTTTGTCACGCAAGCACATCGCGACTGTTACAATGAAAAAAAAACTTTAAAGGGTTACAAAAATGGACTGGCCAACTTTTCATCCTACAGACAATTGTTAACTATCTGCCCAAAAGTATCCAGACAGCTCTTCTAATGGGTGAACTTAGCTTGCATAATCTCCATAGAAAAGCACTGACTATCAGACGCTCTGGAGCAGCTGTAAGTGAGCCAAAGGTCACCATGCCCAACGCTAATTGTGGGCTAGGGCATATAAACGCCCCCAAGCACTGGGCTTTGGAGTTCTCTGGAGTGATGGAGTTTCAATAACTTTGGGATGAGTTTGAGTGATCCAGTATTAAATCATCTAAAATCAGTACCTGACCTCACTAATGCTCAATCAAATCCTCACAGCAAAGTTCCAACATCTAGTGTAAAGCCTTCCCAGAAGAGTAGAGACTGTTACTGCAGCAAAGCAGGACAAACTCACTATTAATACCCTTTATTTCAGGAGAAACATTGGATGTCTACAAACTTCTGGACATATAGTGTATAGTTTGGGGAAAAAGTATGATTCGTGGTCACGCAGGTCATTCACTAAAACTGCTGGAATGCTACTGTAATTGGGATCAGGGCTGCACTGAAGAATAGATGGAAAAAAACTACCATATGGATTCATATTCTGATCTGAAATCAGTCTGAAATCTGACCGATTTTTCAGATAAACTGACATTTACAATTGAGTCATTTGCATTAGTTCTGCATTTACGAAAACGCATAAATTACAAAAATAAAACTAACTGAAACACTGTACATAACCCTCTTTTCCAAAGCTCTACATTCACCAACTGCTTCAGCATGAACATATAAATATGTATCAACACCACTGTCCTATTTCATTGAAATGAGAGAAAGAAAAAAAAGAAAAAAAAAAATCAGTCACTCCTAGGCTCGGGCTGGGCAATTCAATGATACTTCTCGTTATTGTGATAAATCACACCAGGATGTGCTTTTCTGAATGTGTTATGGATATTATCAGTATTTAATTAGGCATTTAATTTGCACAATTTTTCACTTATCCCAGATGTCTTCAATCAGCTAAGTCATGTTTGGCCAAATTTTGCTTCTTAACCTTAGTGCTGGAGCTATGAGGCTAATGTTGCTAACAAACACTTGAAATTAATAGTCACCCAAATGTTATCCTTAAACACATCCCCAAAACTTCTCTCAACCCACTCAACCCATATCTAGATATCATTTATGCAGCAATCAGCCCCTTTGAACAAAATGTGTTGTGTTGAATTCTGATTCCCAAACAGAATCAAATTTCCCACTTTACAGATTATATTGAAGAGTTTCTATTCTGAAGATATGTTACGAACATATCTCCAGTTTCAAAATACAACAATTTTTATATAAAACACCCTGCAAATGTAATTTGTAGTGTCCATACGTTTGTGTGACGTGCATGCACATTCAAAAAGGGAGTCGAAATTTAGCACAAAACCTGCTGTCTAAAGAGGTTGCCTGCATCATTCAGCAAAACAAAGCTGTGTTCATTTTCATAGCTTACAATAAGTCAAACTATGCTCTTAATCACATCAACAAGTGTGTGACCTTAATGAAGAGCTGGTGCAATTTGAGTGAAGATGTGTGGATGTATTTACAGAAAAGATTTCGGTGACTAATGACTTCTTGCATTCGTTAGCAATGTTAGCAAAATTTGGACACCAGAGTGGAAAACTGTAAATTCGATCTTTCGGCCAAATCATTCTTTTAAAGAACAGGAGCATGAGTGTCTCGTTACAAAAAGAGTGTAATTACTCTTCTTTAACTGGCTTCAGTGCAGCACAGTGTGTGAAAAGTTAAATAAAAATCACTGTACTGTACTACTGGTTCTTTTCTGTCCACTTCAATTTATCAAACCACAGAAAAATATTCTGATGCATATTGTGTATCGAGAAAAGGTCTTCAAGTATCGTGATGCTCTATTTGTCATATCACCCAGCTGCTAATATTAGATCTATGAAAATGTGTTGCATTTGTATGAAGCATCAGGCCATGGAAAAACAGCACATCTGACTCAATCACAGTTTTTGTGAAAATATTTCTGTATCATGCTACAGCATCAGAGTTTCTCATACAGGTCCATTTACAGAAATCATTTACATGCAGGTCAGAAATCCTACTCTGCTTTGTATCTCATCCCGTTTCTTTACAACAACACAGCGGTTGTTTGTCTTCCTGGTGTGCCACCCGTGAAGGAAAACACCAGTCTTTCTGCATCTGTAGCGTACAGTTCATCATCATAGACAATAATTTTGTTTCCCTACTCTTAGACAAGCACGGAAAAAGTGTCGACTTGAAAGAGATTTGTAATAGAAGCCTGTGGGCATTAGACACCAAAATGAGAGCAAATCGCTGTCGTCGGAACAAAACTTCGTCTTTCCATTTTTGACATTTTTGACGTTTTCCATTTGTGACATCATTTGAAAATACCTGTTGCCCTTTACATTGTATGGAAATGTCATTATGAATGGACCAAAACAAATGACGTAAAATGACTTGGGAAAAATTCTGGTTCCATTGACTTACATTAAAAGTTTTTTCCCTTTTCCTGTAAAGTTATCATTTTGGAGATAAGAGGTTTTGTTCCAACAGCAGCAAAATGGTGTTATGGTCATTTTTGACCAAATATCGGCCTGAACGATGTTGGCGAGGATGCTGAAATGACGCAGAACCGCTCAGTCCTAGCAAAAGTTAAGCAGAGATGAACATATGAGCCCTTACACGCACAGGTACGTGGAGGAACACTCTTAAAAATTAAGGTGCCAAAAAGGGTTTCTTTGGAGTGATTCCACAGATGAATCACTTCTGCTTTCCTAAAGAACCTTTCAATGGACGGATCTTTAAAGAATAATTTTTGCAAGCACAATGTGCAGGTGTGAAGAACCTCCATATAATGCAAGTTATAAATCAATGAAACATTTTTTCCTAGAAGCCTAGAACCTTTTTTTTAAGAGTGTAAACAAATGTACTAACCAATTCAACTAAGCTTGCACAACAGGCTTGTCTCCGTCAGTGCAGAGTTCGTGTCATGGCCTGTTCCAGATCTGATGGCTAGAAAAAAACAAACAAAAAGAAATAATCTGAAAAAAAGCAGTACAGTGCACAGTAGAAACCGGCTCTGGCTGCAGCAGCTCTTCTCCGCCCGCAGCAGCTACCTGCGTGTAAACAGGCAGAAGATGATGGTGTCGTCTCCATCTGACCGGTCACGGTGACCATACGGCCACGCAAACCCGCATTCTCCGAGGCTTAGGACCATGGACGTGCGGCGAGGCAGTTATGCTCAGGCGTAAATGTGGGCGGAGCCTGCAGCGTGAGCACCGTCCTCCAGCCGCTCCGCAGGCGTCTGCTGAGGCTTCATCACACCCACGTAGTCATGGATACTGACCTCTAAGTTCTTCGCTCTCAGAGCTGCTGTGTGCAACTTCTCCAGGAAATCAGGCATTCCTGAGAGAGAGAGAGTGAGAGAGAGAGTGAGAGAGAGAGTGAGAGAGAGAGAGAGAGAGAGAGAGAGAGCAGACAGATAGAGAAAGAAGCAAAAAGAGTGAGAAAGAGAAAGAAAGAAAAAGATAAAAAGAAACAGAGGCAGAGAGAGACGGGTAAAAAAAAACAGGCAGAAAGAGAGCGGTAAAAAAAAACAGGCAGAAAGAGAGCAGAGAGAGAGACAGATAAAAGGAAACAGAGGCAGAGAGAGAGAGAGAGAGAGAGAGAGAGACAGATTAAAAAGAAACACGCAGAGAGAGAGAGGGACAGATTAAAAGGAAACAGGCAGAGAGAGAGAGAGAGACAGATAAAAAGAAATAGAGAGAGAGCGAGACAGAGAACGCGCGAGAGAGAGAGAGCGAGAGGCAGACAAGGACAGAAAGAGGCAAAGCAAGAGAGAGCGCAAGAAAAAAGAGAAACAGAGAAGACAAAAAGAGAAGTAAAGAAAGCAAAAAGGACCAGAGAAAGAAAGAATACATGAGAGAAAAATAAAAGAACAAGAGAGAGAGAGAAAGATAAAAAAAAAGATGATAAAGTAAGCAATTGTAAGCAATATTGAGAGAGCGAGAGAGAGAGTGTGAGGGTGAGAGAGAGAGAGAGAGAGAGAGAGAGAGAGAGAGAGAGAGAGAGAGAGAGAGAGAGAGAGAATTTCAGTCTGATCTGTATAAGCAGGTGTTATGAACCGGAGAACAGTGCTGCAGAACGGCTGCAGTTACTTTTACTTTGGAAAACTCTGGAATAAAATCCTCTAAAATCCAACACTGTAATAAGTGACTCTGTACAGTAACTGTAGAAACACCCATGACTGACATGAAACGTCTCAGTATGCAAAGATGATGAAAAGCAGGTTGTTATCAGCCCAAAAATACAACAGATAAACAGTGGAAGCTGCACAGCTGTTTTCTCCTGAAACTCAACCTTGCAGAACAGTCCTATAACTGGGCCTGATGGTACATGAAGGTACATGAAAACAACTGCAGTTTCAGGATGGAAAAACTGATTCTAGCACATTTTCTAAAATTGTTTATTTTTATATTTTACACAGGCTGGAAAGTTAAGTCATTTCTTTTACATAGTTAAAAGGCAAACAACTCTAAACAGCTCTGAACTGAGAACAAGTAACAACTGAGAAATTATCCTCTCCTGAATCTCTACTGATTCAGTGTTGTAACGTATCTCTGCAGCACACACAACACAGCCAAAACAGGAAGAGGAGGAGGAGGAAGGGGAAGAGGAAATACTTACCGCTGGACACCATCCAGCTTAGACAGTAGCGAGGAAAGACCGTCTGGGGGTCATCACTGTAGGTCAGCAGGTAGTCAAAGCCATTCTGTCAGAACATCAGGACCAAATAAGAGCAGGACTTACTATGGCTGCATTAATTAAATGCTGTATCAGAATCAAATCAAATCAAATCATGGTGAAATTTACTGACAGAATGAATTGTTTCGTTTCCTAAAGCGATTCAACTTCAATTCTTTAGGAAACAATTCAATATATCAGACTCACACTGCCTTCAGACTGACCTGCTACACTTACTTGCTGTGACAGTTTATTACAGTAGCTGGTTGCTGTCTAACCTAAAGGAAACTCAAACTAATGGTTCCCACCTAAAACTGACCTCTGCAGTGGACAAATTATTTAGCCCTGAAAATCTGCAATGCTCTTTTGAATAAGAAAACGATCATTTGTCTTCAGACAAGAACTAAATGTCATAGAACACCATTAAATAATACAAATGAATGAAAAATAAATTTTTGATATTGTACATTTGGAATAAATTTAAGCTGCCTGTCATTTTCATGTATAATGAGGTGTGTCACACATTTTAGTTCTGGTATTTGGAATGCAAAATCTTTGAAGCTCAGCATCTCAAAACTGCTCAGAATGCAGACACTTGAAATTGGTTATAATGAGAGATGAGAATTTAAAAAAAATATTTTGACCGATAACTGAACATTGTTAGTTGCTGATTAATGACTAACAAACCTAAAGTCACAGACAAGATCCATGGAAACATCAAACAGCACTGAGATTACTATAAACAGCTTCAGACTTTATTAATTGCAAAACCCAGCCTAATGTGACAAATATGACAGTAATGTAATGTAATCTATATTATGGTGACTAATGTCACTTTCACAGCAAAACAAATGTTTTCTCAAGATAAAATTTATGATGCCATGCTAATGGCTAGGGCTTTAAGCCTTCTCCAGATCCATGATTCAGACCTTGATTTTTGAGCTACAGTTCAGGTTCAGACCTCGATTTTTTTGTTGTTTGTTTTGCCTATTGTTGGGGAGGGTGAAGAAGAAAAAACGTTCTGGGTTTTTCCTTCTTCCGGAACTGTGACACGAGACCACCGTGGACATTTGTATTGTGGTTTCGGTCTCAGTTTCAGAATCATTACACCCCCAATAACGGAACAAACATCTCAAGATCTCCAGAAAATAACACTTTGTGATAATGATATTTATATATCACAAGATCTCAAGGAAAAAATGAAAATAACTCCATCACGGAAAAACTGGGTTTAAAAAAAAAAATGTAAACCTACGTTTCTTTACGGTTTCCGTATGTAAGAGTATTTAAGAAAAAAAAAGTTTCTCACCTCATCAAAAGACTTATGGGGACGGATGACCATCCTGGAGCGGTACGAGCGAACCCGGACGAAGTCCTGCGACTCAGGGACCCCTGGGTGTTCCACAGCTCTGCACAGAGTGATTACACGCTGAGTTAAGGGCGTAATTATAAGTTTTGAACACTGTAATACAGGGGTGCTCAGTTCTGGTCCTGGAGGGATTGAGTCTAGCATAGTTTGGTGATTTTCCTACTCAAACACACTATCCATCTATTTAATTGCTTCCTTGTTTGTTTGTCTGTTTACCTGCTTTAGTGAAGTACTAATTTTTTACATCATTTCCTTCCATGCCCAATTGTTTTTGTTGTTTTCCTATGGAAAAAATAATTTAACACATCTTTGACAAAAAACACACTTATGCACATTTTAATGCATAATCACTATTTATTCGCTACGTGTAACACATTGGGGTAAAAAATATAAAAACATAAAATGTGCCCTGTGCAAAAGTTATGGCACACTTTATATTTTAGTTTTCATTTCTCGTCCAGTATGTTAAACTAAAAATAAATAAAAAATGAGCAGTAAAATTTGCAGAAAAATGCAAAAAAATGTAAGTGTGTTTTCGGTAAAGGATGTGTTAACTACTTTCACAAAATCAACAAAACGTGATTTGACCCGGGTGTTCAAACCTTTGTACAAGAATGTATAAATAAAGTTTATTATTACGGTATGCTACAGATGCAGCTGTATGTGAGTAGGGAAAACAGTGCTGGACTATAACACTGGTGTAACGTATAACAGCCCCTGAAAGTGCGTACCTGGACACCAGGACCATCATGTTGTTCTCGAGGTCCAAGTCATAGCGGCGCACATAGACGTAGTCTCTGGAGTACATGGGATACTGCGCAGGAGATAAGCAAGAACAGAAGCTTTCAGCCATTCAAATCCCTGAATGCTGAGCACTCTGTTTAAGGCCTGGACCTGGCCCTAACTAAACCACAACAACATGTAAGAGGCTTACGTGTGAGAGAGGCAGAGAGAGAAAAAGTTTACACCACATACACCATGCTATATTTGGTGTAAGGTGGAAAATTGCGCAAATTATTTTTTTTTCCTCAAACTACTGCTTTAAAACTGGCTTGTTATACGGGAGATGGATTCAGAGCTTACTGGGAAATGTGTGGCCCAGTGGATGACCTCAGAACCTGTGTTCAAATCCCTGTCCACAACGTCCAGTCTGATGACCAGTGCATCCCACTTCTTCCTGTATTCAGTGTCCAACTAGGTCAGAGGGAAAACATAGGGGTGTGAGGGTCTAAATTTAACTCACGTGTGCTTAAAGCCAAAACAGTTAAATGCAGAAGTTTGGGTAACCCGGTCAAATAATATTTTAATAATATGTTAATTTTTTGAGTGAAAATAAGAGAACACACTGCTCATTTTAATACACAATTACTCCTTATTTGCACTAACGTGCACATAAGTGTGCTCTCTCTGGAGGACGTTAACTTTTTTCACTTAGAAAATCAACAAAGCACATCCTTTGACTTTTGCCTAGAACTTGGCATATGCACCTAAAGATATACAAATACACTACTCAATAAATAACAGTGCATGCACTCGTTCCTTAATTCAGCACAGAATACAATAAATACAAAGACAAAGGTTCTCAATACCTGAACATTGAAGAACTGTCTGGGAGTAATATCAGTGTATGAACCAAATACTGAAACAGAAAGAAGGAACAGAAAGACAGTCAGTCTGTGTTTCTTGGACATTTTGTAAAACCTTTTGTGATAGAGGTGCTGGACAGTTTAGAGCAGTTTTAATCAATTCACTGGATTCAAAGAATGGTAAATGCAGAGACTGGTGAATGGAATGGTAAACTGCCCACGCACTCTTAAAGGCAAATTCCATTGATTTTTCAAAATTTCTACAAAATGAAATGGTTATGATGAAAAAGATACTCAGAGTGGTTAGACGTGAAATGCCGCAAGTCAAAGCTGTTCACAGTGGTGGTGATAGGAACCAGACGTCCACCTCTAAAAACTCCCTCACAGAAAGTTATTACATGAAATTGTTATAAATTCACTGCCTGATACCTGAGACACTGATTTACAAAAGTTTTGAGAAGGTCATAAAACTTCATGGAGGAGTAAATGAAGGGTGTTGTGCTGCAAAATAGCCCCTAAAGAAAACTTCTTTACTACTATTTTATTAACATTACAAATGAAAATAGTACATAAAATGAGTACATCTGCACTGTAGACATCGCAACTGCTGGTTAGGCTTGTGAGATGGTGTGCAACAAACCATAGTCTAATCCAGCTCCTAACCATGGATGCTTGATGATATTATCGTGTAGGGGTTTAACTTGAGGCTATCTTTTGCTGTAGTGTTAATAAATTACACATGTACTGTCTAAACATCAATGAAGTTGATGAAGCCTATATAATGCTGTTATTTTAACTCATTGTTGCTATTATGATATTAGACATGATATTAAAGTAGTCTGTCTATTTTTGGTTTAATAACTTTGTAAGCGCAATGTCAGATCATTTAAGCCCTCGTTCATGTTTCCTGAAGGAGGCCATTTTGTGTGTGGGTGGCGACAGCAAGCTTTATCTGTTTAACAAGCACAACCACATGTTAAAAAAAAGGGGAAAAAAAAAGAAAAAAGTGCTGCCTTGCACTAATACAGGATGTTCATAGATGTTGTAATATATATATCTGTTACAGGACATGGACTTCACATTAAAGGGCCCATATCCTACATTTTTCCTGTGTGGCCCACTTATATTTGTGTGGGTTTTATGTATCAAAAATGGTCATAATTCATTTTTACATGGCCATTTTCCAACCTCTCTTTATCCCTTAGAATTAAACAGGCTGTTTTTGTTACTGTGCATTTAAATACTGGTATATGTAAATGAGCACTCATTTGATTGGTTGTCTAGTGCTGTGCCTCACTCAAAAAGCACTAAGAGAAAACTCTAAACTTCAACATGAAAGGGCTGAACTGCTATGAGCTAAATAGGTGGCATGGATGTAAACAACTTGATTCTTGTGGCATCACAGAAACAATTATTTCAAAATAGGCTGTAAATTTGGTTTTCCATTATATGGGCCCTTCAAAGAAAACATAATAGAGGAAAACCAAGATTCCAACAAAAACATGACTGCTTTTGAGCAGACGGCACATTTTCTGACACTTAAATCGTCCAACTTGACTGAGAATCCTATCTACACTATCGTCAGTTGGCTCAAGCCTACCCCGGTTCCTATCATCAGCACTGTAAAGAAATCCGAGTTATGTAAGAGTTTGGCACACTGCTGTAGATTAAGGATCAAAGGAGCGCAGATTAGCATTACTGCAGTGCCATGGTGTCCAGCCCACAATCAGAAATGCACAGTCTGAGGCCTCACCTCTATACTCGAAAAGGTGGCTTCCTTCAATCGGTCTCCTCCAGACTTTGAAGGTTTTTTTCTCAATGACAATCTCCCAGCCAGTTTCTGCCTGCGTGGGCTTCTCCCGGCCCGTAACAGCAGTCTGCTTTTTCACAGCATCCAGTGCCTCCAGCTCCCACACGCACCTGGACATGAAAAAAAAGATTTTGGGTGACAAACACTTGTTAGCAACATTAGCCTCACAGTTCCAGTGTAAAACTAACAATACAAACTTCAAATAAGAGCCCAAATAAGACTTGGCTGATCTACATTTGGGATAAGGGAGAAAATTGTATAAATTTAATTTTTCACCAAACTGTTCCTTTAATGGGAAGGGGAATTCCACTATTTTTTTCAAAATTTCTGCATTACATAATGGTAAAGATGTAAAGTTTTTCAGGGTGGTTTGGTGTGAAACGCTCCCTTCTACAGAAACTTACCAAGTCAGAATTGTTCACAGTAACCCAAACTTCCACCTCTAAAAGCTCCCTCACAGAAAGTTATTGCATGAAATAGTTATAAAAACACTGTCTGATGCCTTACGATACTTGTAATACTTGTATTTTGCACATATGTAGAGTCATATTAATCATCATCAACATTACACATGAAAACTCCAAAGACACACGCAGGTTCATTGGGAGTTTTGGATAGAATATAAAATGGCTGCATTTGTCCTGCAGACATTGCAACCCCTCTTCAAACCACTCTCAGTGACTTTGTTTACACCTCAACAATTCGATTATGCAGAAACTTTGAAAAATTCAGTGAAATATTGCAACACATAGACAGCGCTGGGTACTGAATTAGGGAAGTGGAGTCTGCTTTATTGCAGAAAGAACCGTGAAAAGCACCAACCTCCTCATTTCATCATCTTTTATCTTCTCATCTTCCCACATGAAGACCCCAGCTAGGGCAGCCACGAGTTTTCCAGCCTGGGAATGCCTGCCCTGCAGCTGGCGCCAAATGCTGCCCACCAGGGTCCACCTGGTCCTCTCAGAGTAAAGGTTAGAGTACAGCTCAGCTATCTGAAAAGCTCTTCGCAGTCTCTGCCCAGTCACAAAACTACAGTGGTTGGCCAAGATGGTCAGCAACCCTTCTTTCTTCTTCTTCCCAAACCCACCTGCACCTTCTCCTGCTTTGTAGAGCCATGTCAAGAGATGGCCCACACGTCCACCCAGCCATGCAATAGGGCCAGATTTGACATGTGCAGCACTGTGGGCCTCTCTGAAAGCACTGCAGCACTGCAGGCGGACAGCACGGGCACTGATGCTGCAAATGGGACGACGGTGGACGGAGGGGAACATGGTCCAAGTCCAAGTATGTGGAGCACCAGCACCAACTGTGACCCTGCTATGTGAATACAACTGACCTCCTATGTGCAGCAGCTATGGTAAGGCACGTTTCAGCATCTGAGCATCGTGCTGGATCTGAGGTAGCGGTAAAAGTTCCCCTTCTGTGTGTACATACCTGGCCAGCGGATCTCCATGCAGCAGCACAGCTCTGAAGCTCTGCAGCTAACAAACAGCATGCAATGTCACACTGTCAAACCACATGGATCAGCTACTTGCTAGCAAGGAAGTATTTCACAACCTGATATTCAGATAAAACCGCTTAAACTACAAGCTCCAAATACATACAGCTCATTTTCTATATTCACACCAAGCGAGAATGACTAGTTAAACACTATGGTATGGCCAGTGGACATCTGCCATTAGCTAAGTTAGCTTGCTAGCTTAACTTAGCTTAGCCACCTAACGCTTGTACAGACAGGAGCTGTCACTTTGTAAAAAAGGAAGTGCTTCAAGGAAGAAAATGATCTACAGACACTAACGAACAACACATAAGCTGAATAACAAACTCCGCTTTCTGTCCACAGGTTACAGTAAACAATCCTCCTCACCAGTTTCTCCTACTTTCTAACTCAAGTGTGCTTTGGCCGTCCTCATGCGCTCAGAGGACAGCAACGCCTGAACGCTTTAAGCCCCGCCCACACCTTGTTTAGAGGATTATTATTGGTCCGCTCATGTCACTTGGTCCTATTCTATTGGTTTTCTCGTGTGTCTGTCAACTTTACAAGGTGTCGGCGGTCGCCTTGCTGAATGTTCAAAACAGTTCCCTCGCCCCCTACAACCTAACAAGAAATCGGCCTGTTCAGGTGATGTATTTTATCACTTTTCAGTGAAAAGAGCCAGACTAACTGCCATTTTATTGGAAATTTACGTAATTGCTGCACTTTAAAAAAGGGGAGAGCCCGATCGTCAGAATCCATGAAAATAATATATAAAATTAATACTTTAAAAAGGAAAATTACATCTTTCGAGAGTTTTAAGTGAGACGTAAGTGTACTAACAAATACTGGAAGTGAGGCTAATTTCATCGTTAGCAAGCAAAGCACATTAGCCTGCTAGAAAGCTAGCAACATCGCTTTTAGCAAATATCTGAATTATGTAACATGTTTTTAACTTAAAACGAGTTGGAACATTTGGAAATTGCTGTCCTGAGCCACTTTCTGATCACTCTACAGATGACAAATCTTTTTTTTTTTTTCTTTTGAGACACCTTCAGTGTGAATGTCATCGCTTAATTTGTATTGCATTGTTGAATTTCTGCTGAAAGAAAGAAAAAAATGATAGAAAAAGAAACGTTAAGAAACATTATTTCCAGCTCGTCCACCAAAACCACTCGAACACAGAGAAAACAAGTTGTAAGTAGGAACTTTTGAGGAAGACTTGAAGACAGCATTAGTTAGGGAACTGCACAGGAAACCAAATATACCGCTGAAAATTCAAGCAGCACTACAAAATGGCTGACGCACTACGTAGTGCACTAATTCTGCGGTTTGAGACGCGCCCTGGTCTTTGCTGGAACGTGCTAGCACGCTGAAGTGACTCATCTGGTCATGGTGAGCGCCTGATCTGTACGGCTGATTTTGAGCCAGGAGTCTCCTAGAAATACTAACGTTAACTGCCGCACAGGAAAACAGTTAAACTGATTTCAGGTCAGCGACAAAGAACAGCTGCTTCCGGCTGACTGGTGAAGGACCTCTGCTACTTGTAAAGGTTAAATGGTGTAATTTGAGTCTGCTTAGTGCTGCTTAGGCAAGAGTTGCTTCATGCATTCAGTGAAATCATGTAAAAATGTGTTACTTTTGGGTTCAGGCAGATTATTAAGTTGTATGTATTTCTATGGGAATAGATATAAAAGGTAAATATTATGCAAAACTGTTTTGCAAAGATATGGCCAGATTTGTTACCAACAGTTTTTTCAGTACCATGTTTTGTTTGGTTTAAGCAATGTTTGTAAGGATAAAATAAAACAGAATTATATTATTTACTTAAATATTCTAATAAAATATCATATCTGTACATGGAAATGTAGTAACGTCAAGCCATTATTGGTGGTTTTTGCAGAAGAAGTAAGACTGTATTCAACACTTCTCATTTCAACAAACAGAGAGGCTGAAGAGACTCCAAACATTCACAAATCACCACAAATCTTTACATTGTCATGTACTTTTTTGGTTGTTTGATTCTGAATTCATATCTGAAGAATACAGTGAAAACAAACAAACCCAAAAAGTAGCTATATAGCAAAAATAGATGTAATTCATCATATTACATCAAATCTTTTGATCACATGGCCATTCATTTTTAACAAAACATATATTAAAAAGTATAAGTGTAAAAAAAAAGGCATTCAATCAAAAAATTCAGTTGGGTACTGTTAGTATAATTATTCAAAATTGTACCTCATTAAAACAAGAGGTGCCCAAACCTTTTGTCTTGGTAGGCTGAAGTGCAATGTTTATGGTGGCCTTACTGCCAAGAAAGATTTATTACACTATTATTTTTACTAAAATTAATAAAGTTAATAAAGGCTATTTTAATGAAAAATAAGAACTGATCAAGTTATTTTTAGTATATGTTTGTTCTCTCACTGGATGAGGGGGTTGGGCTTCAGGTAACTTTGTAAAGGCAAAATCAACATCCTCATGGGTCAACTTTGGGCAGCCCTGATCGAGACCAATCAGGACAATGTCATTGGCATACATACATATAGATGTTAGACATGAATAGCTTAATTCTGTTCTTAGTACTCTTTTAATGCCTCCTTCCGAAATATGTCTTTTTTAAAAAGAAATAATTAAAGAGATTGAAAAAATGCAGGTGAATACCCCTTAAAAGGGGAATTCCACCGATTTTTCGAACTTTTTTCATAATTTACTGTTTAAGATGTAAACAGAGTCATTCAGAGTGGTTTGGTGTGAAATGCTTGATTGTAGGGTGATGATAGGAACCAGGGGTTGCCATGACTACAACACAAATATAGCCCTTTTATTTACTATCCAAAACCACCAGTGAACCTACACAAGTCTTCTGGGTCTTATATGGAATGTTCATGAGGGTTAAATAGTGATAAATATGAACTCTGCATGGTTTAAAAAGTACTTTTTAAGTCAAAACCTTCTCAAAATTATCAAGAGACATCAGGCAGTGTTTTCATAACCATTTCATGTAATAACTTTCTGTGAGGGAGCTTTTAGAGGTGGGCATCTGGTTCCTATCACCACCACTGTGAACAATTCTGACTCAGTAAATTTCTCTAGAATGGAGCATTTCACACCAAACCACTCTGAATGACTCTGTTTACATCTTAACTGTTTAAGTATGCGGGTATTGTTAAAAATCTCTGGAATTTATTGGTCATTGCAGATGGTCATGGATTAGAAATTCTACATTCTTTCAAGCAACGTTTCCCCCACTAGAGGGGGCCATCATGTAATCTATATCTTTAACAGTTCCTTCTGTTTGCTCAAAAACTCCCACACCTGACTCTTCTTGAACCATCACCATGAACTTATACTCACCGACAAATCCATTTATTTGTTTGATATCTTTATTCGTGTAAGCTCATTCACAGAGCTGGGCAGTAACTAGTTCCGTTTACTCAGTTCCATGTATTTAAAGGGGAATTCCACCAATTTTTTTCAAAATCTCTGAATATTTCAGTCCTTCAGATGTAAACAGATTCATCCAGAGTGGCTTGGTGTGAAGTGGTTTATCTGGGAGAAACTTAAGACAGATTTCTTTACAGTGGTAGTGATAGGAACCAGGGGTCACAACGTCTACAACACAAATGTAGCCATTTTGTTTACTATTCAAAACCACCAGTGAACCTACATGTGTCTTTAGAGATTTTATGTGTAATGTTGATGAGGGTAAAATAGTACAAAATCTGGAAAAAAAAGTTTACTTTGGGAACTGTTTTGCCTCAGGACTCCCTGCATGTACCCCCTCCACCATGAATGGATTAAAATAAATAGATTAAAACCATTCCCAATGATTTTGTTTACATCTCAACTATTTAATTATGTAGAATTCAAAAATCAGTGGAGTTCCCTTTTAAGCAAAGTTCTGATGCATTTGTGCCACTGTTTTCAAGATATTATTTTTACCTCTACACAGGTAGCTATATTAGAAAGTAATTCACTGTTTACTCAGTTCAATTTCAGTCATTAGCATCCAGTTCCTAACTCTGTTTTGGGTTTAATTTCATTCACTTGTGTTGGTTCTGCTCCTGGACTGCTTCATACCTCTCATTTTCGAGATTTACAGTTTAATTTAGAACAAAACAAGAACAACAGAGTTCCAAAAATTTCAGTTCTTGTGGTGATAGATGCTTATATTTAAAAAAAAAGATGCTTGTATTTAAAATGGCATTCACAAGCTTAGCAATAAAATGAGACCTTAGACTTTTTAAAGACTTAGTAAGATATTATAGTGGCAAAAGGTCATTCGAAAGGGTAGTAACCCTGCCAGCTGACCATCAAATTATAGGTTCACACACATCAATAGCAGCTGTTTAGTTATAGATTGTCAAGGTTAGCTAAAGTTAGTCAGCTTAGCACAGCTAGCTAAATTATCACCTCTACAAAACAGAGAACTGTAAAAGTAATAACTGAATTCAAGGCTCAGTCATTGTTCAGCTAATATGAACATATTTGGAAATTATTTGTTGCTAGAAAATTAAACACTAAAGTCAGCTAACTCACCTTCCTTATCTAGCTCGCTGGCGTGTTAGTTAGCCAGCTAGTTAACTAGCAAAATGACTTGATCTGCAAAACAGCAAACTAGCTACTAGCGTTTCCAGTTATATTAGCTAGCTAAAATAATGTCATAAATGTACATTTTAAACATGTAATTTCAGAAACATTGGAAATAACTGCAGTGAGATAACGATAGCGAAGCAGAAGCACAAACGGTACAGACAACTCACACATCTGGGAGCAAATATTTCTAATGTTGATGAACTACAATAAATATTAAAACTTTATTTAATGAACATGTTGCCTCTTGGTCCTTTTTTCCATACTTTCTCCCCCTTAAATTATGTAGCACTATATTTAACATATAGTCATATTACTTTTTATAGCAAGCAAGCAAAGTTTATTTATATAGCGCTTTTTACAACAGGTGTTGTCACAATCAGCTTTACAAGAAAATCAGCATTACAGAAAGAAATCCGGGTCCAAGCCCCCATGAGCAAGCCAGAGGTGACAGTGGCAAGGAAAAACTCCCTAAGAGAAACAGGAAGAAACCTTGAGAGGAACCAAGACTCAGAAGGGGAACCCATCCTCCTCTGGTCGACACCGGATAGTAAAACATAGTTAGTATAAAGTATTATAGTACAAAAAACAGGTGGAGCAAATGATTAATTTGTTTAGTTTAGTTCAGGCAGCAGCAGCAGCATCAGTGGGGTCAGGTTGTGAGGGTGAGGTTTGCACGGCAAGCAGTGGCACCCAATCAAGGCAGAAGAGGCAGCAGCATCAGAATGCACAGGATGGGCAGCTGTTCAACTCGGCAAAGAAAAGAAAGAAAGGAACAACACACAGAGAGTCAGTTCTGCAATGGGTGATTAATTAATTTGATTAGTTTAAATGATTGATTAGTTCAAATGATTAATTTTGATTAGTTCATGTAGCAACAGCAGTAGCATCAGTGGGGTCAGGTTGTGAGGGTGAGGTTTGCACGGCGTTGTACAGCAGGAGGCTCAATGGTGGTAAGTCGGTCCAGAGGGCTGGCGAGCAGTGGCACCCAATCAAGGCAGAAGAGGCAGCAGCATCAGAACGCACAGGATGGGCAGCTGTTCAACTCGGCAAAGAAAAGAAAGGAAAAACACACAGAGAGTCAGTTCTGTAATGGGTGTCAGTTCTGTAATGGGTGACTGATCACAAATTACAGTGTTAGCGGAGGAGCGGAGACTCTGGCAGGTGTAGAACTGACAGAGATAACTAATTACCATAGGCTTGACTATACAAGTAAGTTTTTAGCTTAGACTTCACTCAGGTACTGAGGGGAGAGTCTGTTTAGTGCTTTGTAAGTCAGTAAGAGAATTTTATAATCAATGCGAAATTTAACTGGTAACCAGTGTAAGGTTGATAAAACTGGGCTGATATGGTCAAAGAACCTCATAATTCTAAACTTGAAGGATTTAAAGGTTCTCAGGATTAAAGCTTCTTTCTGCATTTGGTCCATTTTGGAAAAGGCTATGTTCAGATATCCTACAATTTTGACAATCAGTGGTCAAAATTATCTGGAGACAATGACTGTTAGGATATGAAGAATACAAGTGATTGTACTACTTAAAAGTTTTGCTGTTTAATCCTCAATAGCTCAAAACTGCACTGAAGTTAATGGAAAACTCATTTTATTTATCTCAAAGAATGGTATTTATTTATAATAATATAGCATTAAGCTTTCTTATATGTGTAAAGCCCGATAATGCGTTTTGCAATGCTCTGCACTGAAGCATTTTGCTATGAAACCCTTCAATTCTGAGCTTACTTTTTGTACTTCTACTTCAGTTTTTTTTTTTTTTGAAAGGTACTTTTACCTTTACTGCAGTCATTAATTTACTGCAGTAACAAGAGAATGCCTGAGGCTACTCCACGCAGCCCTGCACGGTCACTCTCACTCTATACAGAGATCTGCTCCAGCACATTCAGTGCCGCTTATCAGAGAACACAACAGTACTGTACACATAGGCTGTAGTGACTCACTGATAGCACATGAAGACAACTGATAGGACGAATGGTACATTATAGTCTATACCATTCACAATTTACAGTAAACAATCTGCATTGTACATAGTTGCAGTAGGCCAAGCAATGTTGTAGGACTGAGCTGGTGGCCTGTTTGCACAGATAAAACAGAAAATGTCTTCTTTGTGAGGGAAGTAATGTTTGCCATTCCAGTAGCTGAGTGCTTAGAGATGACCATCCATTAGACGACAAAGGAATCAGCCAATGTCTATGAAATAGGAGACACTGTAGAGCATCTGCTGATGTCTATTATACACTATATATCCAGACAACCCTTCTGACGAGTGAATTCAGCTACTTTAAAGGAGAATTCCACCAATATGTAAACAAAGTTGTTCAGAGTGGTTTAATGTGAAATGGTTTACAGTAGAGAAACTTACAGGCTCATATTTCTTTACAGTGGTGGTGATAGGAACCATGTACACAACACAAATATAGCCATTTTATTTACTATTCAAAACCACCAGTAAACCTACATGTGTCGTCTGAGATTTTATTTGTAATATTGATGATGATAGAATAGTGAAATAGTCAAAATCTGAAATAATAAGTTTTCTCTGGGGACTATTTTACCTCACAATGACCTGTATGTACCTCTACACCATGAATGGATTTTTAAAAATTAGGTTTTAGGCCAAAAGCCTGCCTCAAAGCTCACATAAAACAATGTCTCATCAGGCTACATATTTGTTTCCATTTTGTATAATAACTTTCTGTGAAAGAGCTTTCAAAGGAATTAAACTCTTCAGACATCTGGTTCCTATCACCACCACTGTGAACAATTCTTACTCTGAAAATTTTGTTTACATTTTAACCATTTAATCATGCAGAAATTTTGAAAAATCTGAGAAATGACCCTTTAAAGCTGGCAGAGACTCAGTGCTTTAATGGCTGTAAACAGACTGTGGCCTGGCAAACACATCTGGCTCTGCTGTGTGCCATCATTCTTTGAGGTAAGTGGGCTGCAAGTAAATGCTGGATGTGGCCCAGTTATGGACCTCATCAGATAGAGTGATGGAGCTCCATTCAGTATCTTTGGGATGAGCTGGAGTGATCCAGAACTGATCCACCATTCCTGTCTGACCTCACTAATGTTCCTGTGGCTGAATGCAATCAAATCCATGCAACAATCTTCTAATATCTACTGTTAAGCCTTCCCAGAAGAGTAGATGCTGTTACTGCAGCACAGAGGGACAAACTCACTATTAATACTTTTAATTTCAGTAGAAATGCTGGATGAGCAGATGCTACAAACCTTTTGACTGTTTTTAAATTCCTCATTTGTCAATGCTCAGAGATATTTTCTGTGTTTTGGTTTCTGGGTGCTCTCTGAGACTAGACATGGGAACGTCTTCAGCTTCAGTGTTTCAGCTGAGGAGGGAGAAAACTGTGGTGCACCTGCACTGATAGTAAAGTAGCCTAGGAGAAAAAAGCTCAGTGTGTCTTTATTATCAGGAACTCTTCGTCTATGTTCAGACTGATGGACTTTCCTACATACCAGTTCACAAAGCCGTAGTTCAACCAATTCATGTCCAACACCTACATTTAATATGATTAGGAAAAATGCCACAGAACGTGTTCTGATTAGTCTAAAGCGATGACACTGTGTATAGTTATAGCTTTGATAAACACTGACAGCATTTATTTGGTTAATTTTTTTGTATGTAATTTTCATACTTTTATTCATACCAAATTTGGGTTTTATTTAATTTTCTTAGAAAGCAGTATTCCTATGTGACCACGGATAAATAATGTGATGACAGACCCTCTTTGTAGCTATATGGTTTGATCGACTTGAGTAAGTTCCTCAGATTTGGACATTGGGTTAACAGCAGCTCTCCATGTCACTAGTGTGAAGTGGATTTTTTTTAAACCAAAGGTCAACAATGAGGTAGCATACAATCATGAATTGGCAATGGTCAGTAGTATTAAGCAATATAATAATATCCCCCCAAAAAGTAAAAATTATAAAATAAAATTGAAAAAACATATATATTTTTAAAATGCACAAATTTTGCACCATCCAATACATTTGGTATGAGATTTAGTGATCCAGAACTGATCATTATTAAATAATTTCTAGCCACATTTTATGTATTTTTCTCCAATTTGTTGAATTCAGCAAATATTAATTGTGCACTAAAATGTGCAAATGTGTCTTCTCTGTAAGGAATGTGTTAACTTTCACCTAGAACATGGAATCTGACCTTTTGCATACAACTGTACACATAGAGGCCTTCCAAAAAATCCCTTAATTTAGACTGAGCAAAAATAGAGATTTAACAAAAACAGATTTAACAGAAACAAAACCAGAAATAAAGTTGAAAGGTTCAGCCACTTTAAGAAGGTGTAAAAAATAAGCTTTAAAAAGACTTGACTGACAAAACATCAATATATTTATAGACTTGGAAATACTTTTAAAACAGTACAATAAAATCACGCGGTACACAGACAGAGCCACGCAGTCACGCAGTTCATTCAGGGCGTAGCTAACCAGTTAGGACCAGTACGATGCAGCACAGTTAATTTGCATTTATTTATTTATTTATTGCCAAAATAGGAAATGGGCGGTATCCCGTGACGTCAGAACGGAGGGAAGAAAAAAAGGAACCTCCTCATCCGCCTCCGCGAGAAGCGAGTTCAGCCTCATAAGAGGGGAGAGACGTTAGAGACAAAACGCGGTTTATTTACGGTTATATACTGTATTTATCGGGTTACGGAGACAGGTTGAGAGTTTTTCCGTATTTATTTTTTACTTCAAGCCGAGTTTCGAGGTTTTGAGGAAAAAAAAAATCGAAATTTTAATTTTAAATTCTCTCCCGCGCTCAGCCCATTTTAAGCGGCATCGCGGGTTCTGATCAGGAAACACCGAGAACCTCACAAAATTGTCACCCAACATCTCTTTTAACGTGGTAAGTACAGTCATAAATATTTTAAAACTTATTTTTATACATGTTTCCTCCCTTTGAGACGGAAGACTTGGGCAATGTGAAGTTAACTTACTCAACCGATTCGTCTTTAGCTTTAGCTCTAGCTCCGCTAACGGCTTTCACACGAGGCTGAAGTTGGCTTTCTGTTCGACGGCTTCTTGTTCGAATTTTGTCGTTCCACCTTAAATGGCGCGACCGTTTTTATTAAAACGCGTCAGCGCCAGAGTGTAACTGCTGCACCCTTTTAAGGCGGAACGGGAAAATTCGAGCAAGACGCTGGCGACTTAAGCTTCGTGGCTTCACAGGCTAGAAAGACAAAAACAGCCCTAATTAATTCACATTAATTCCTGTCAGTGACTTTAATTCGACCATTTCGCCCTCCCCAGCTCTGGTTTACGGTATGTTTCGATGGCTTATGTCGAAGGATTAAGATGTGTTAGCTTAGCTTAATGCTAAGCGCCAAATGTTGAATGAATCGGTGTCATTAACGGCACGTGTAGCGCCTAAAAAGAACCGGCCGGTCTCGCCGCCTAGCTTTAGCTTTAGCGCCACCGTAGCAGCACCCATCTAACACAAAGCAGGGTGTCCCCAGATCTGGGACGGTGTTCAGTTAATTTCATTTCACTTCAGATCAGTTCGGTTCTGTTTGAACGACGATTTCTACAGTACACTTTGTCTAGCAGCTTTTTCCAGCAAAGTAGGTGCAGCTTTATTCTAATATGCGACCCAAGGTCGACAGTGTCAGTGAAAAGAACAGAACATGAGGTAGAACCTCTGAAAGGAACAAAGACTCTAAAGGGGGAAGCTCGCTGAGAACGTGAGAGAGAACGTCTCGGAGAAACCTTGACTCCAAAGCGGGAAGCTCCCTAAGAGCATGAACCTCTGAGAGGAACCAAAACTCAAAAGGGGGAAAACTAGAATCTTTTGAATCTGAATCTTTATTTGCCAGGAATATCTCAAAGTAAATTCCAATAAAAATGTGGGACAAAATACACATGTTGGGGTGTTACAAGTCACAAATTCATAATACAGTTTGATGCCATCTCAGTTCAATTCATTTTCCAATACAGCGAAGAAACTACACTTATTTCTTCTCTCAGTATGACGTGGCTTTAATGTTTACAGATGTTCTGACTTTCATATGACAGAAAAAGGAAGGCACATTCAAGATTTGTACAAGTGATCATATACCTATTGATAGTAATGATTCTCAGAGTTGATTTGGGTGCTGTCAAGCCAGTACATTTTTTAAAGATGTCAGAAATAAGAAATGTTTGAAAATGTGCCTTACATTTGCACATTGTACAGTCTGTATCTGTGATTTTAGGATGGCATAGTTGAGTTTTGCCATTCATGCTGGTTTCTTAGCAGCGTAGAAACAAACAGAAGTGTAATAGTGCCCTCATATCATGTGATAGCCAAAAGCTAATATGTTAGCTCTGAGCTAATGCAGCTAATTTGCTTGCCACAGTACAATGTTGTATTTTTACAAAGTGTAGAACAGTTACAATCACAGTTTAATAAGTAATATATTAGTTGTGCCATGTCTGTTATGTACAGTTCCATTAAGTATTGATGTTGTGTACTGTTGTAACGTAAACAAGGAACAAACACTGAGAGGAAACGCGCCTCAGAAGGGAGAACACACCTCATCTGGGCTGCGCCAGAGTGCAGTACTGTACAGTCGGTTAAAACAGAGCTTTTACAGTGAAAATATCTAACATAAGGTAGTAACTGATGTTACAGACTGGCTACTGGTTAGGAGATGAGAGGTATGAGGTTAAAATAGGAATGTGAGTATAAGGCAGGTTGAGAAACAGTACAGTGTACATCTTAGTGCTTTTACTGCTCTGACGCACCTGCTTTAACTCATTGGCCCATTCCCAAACCCTTCATGAAGTTTAAATAGTGATGCCAGAAAATGCAAAAAATGTGGCTTTGGAAGCTAGACTGGGAAAATCAGCGATGAAGATTTATTGCATTATTGATTTAATTATTGTTAGCGATAGAATAACTCATCAGTATATCCTTGTGTAGTGAAGATGAGCCCCAGTTAGGCTGATGCTGGAGGATTAGGTGCTCAAGCTCAGCTGACGTTACATCTTATTATTAAGACAAGCTCTAAGCTGACAAAATTGGTCATTCAGTGTTTCAAGTAGTATTTGACAGTGCTGTTTCATAATTAAGGAGTACATGAAAACCTTAGTGGCTCATCTTGTTCTCTGACTCTGCTTTTAGGAAAGCCTAGTTCTCTTTCTTGTGGCAGATCCGTCAAAGTGTGATAAATGTCATGTGCTCTTGAATTAATAACTGAAAATCTGTGATATAATGTGTAACATAATTGTCACATAAGTGTCACAAAGGCAGTTTGGATGAACCTTGTGAACAGAAAATGATCTGCCTGTGAATTAGTAGTCATATGACCTGGTGGTTTGGAAAAGGGCAGTGAGCCAGGCATAATTTATGCAGGGAATTTTTTTTGTATTTTGCAGTCACTGCCTTGTAGCTTTTCGTTTGTATTGTTAAAGGGCCCATGTCAAGGAAAAATGAACTTTGAATATTTATTTATTTTTTTGTAATATGTACTATGTAAACATGATTAAACATAGTTCTCTTCCCATAGTTCTCTTCCCATAGTTCTCTTCCATATATAGAAACTAAGCTACCAAAACAGCTTGTTTTGAATCATTGCTTCTGTAATGTCACAAAAATCAGTGCATTCACATATATACAGTGTTCTAGACAGAACTGCTTTTTGACTGAGGTGCAGTAAAGGGCAGCCAATCAGAACAGAGCCAAGTTACATAAAGGTGTTCTAACAAACATCTTGTTTAATTTTAAGGGTTACAGAGAACTGGTATGTAAAACCACAGATGTCCTAAGTGGACCTCAGGGGAGACAAAATAATATACAAGAAAAATTGAGGGTATAGGTTCTTTAATGTCTATTATTTAGGACATTTGGAGGCATTTTTTTTGTCTGTTTCTTTTTAGTCTTTGTGTGCCCTAACCCAGATGTATTATTTAATCGAGTATCTAGAATTTTCTAATTGTGTTAGATTGCAAGTTAGTGTTAAGAAAATTGTCTGTTATTTAACAGAGGTAGGTGTGGAATGTCACATGATTAGGAGTGAATGCTCACAGGAGGTCTGTGGGTTGTGAAAGGCAGGTTTTGTCATTTACTGGAATAAGGCAGCTCTGACTAAACGTGTGCACCCTCTAGTAGGAAGTTACCTCTCTGTTCAGGCCAAACTATGGGTTTTACTTGGCATGACTCAGGTTAGCTGTGTTTTTTTTTTTTTGTTGTTTTTTTTGATGACTGACTGCTCATTCTACACGTGTTAAATCTGGATTTAAAAGAAATCGTATTTTTACAAAATGTTATTAAATAACTCATTAGTCTTCTAGTTAATGTTTTGTAAATTCTACATTTTTTTGGTAACATGCCACTGTATTCGATTCTATTAGGGGAAAAAAATAGCCCCTTAGGAAGGTATATGGGCAGAACTTGCCTGAAGCAAAAGATACCACTTGCCCCCATCTGGTTTGGTTGGGGGTGGGGGGCTGCTCTGGTTGGGGGATGGGTGCTGAAATGACACTAGACTCAACATTAGAGCAAATCAGTTAGCTTCTCCAAGAAAAAAAAGTGCTTAAATGGCATTTGTACGCAGTCGTTTGCAATAATATGCCTTTTTTCTGGTTCGATACAGTTTTCCAGTTTGATTTTTGATGTTTTAGAAATGTCTTTATTTTACAGATTTGTAATTATAATACACAGATTGGTTTGGCCTAGACAAATACCCTTTTAAGCCTGAAAAATAGCACATCCTGAGATGCATACACACACTCACACACGTGTAATGAATGTCTTTTAAGGTATTTAGGATGTTGTATAGGAATGTCTACAGTTGAAAATACCAGGAAGTGCATATTTGCCCCATAAAGCTTCTGTTGCTCAATGTTTTTGGTACAACTGGTGCTGTGGTACATGCATGCAGTTGTGTCAGACATCAGAACATGATGAGCCTCAGGCCAGAGATTGAGAAATGAGATGTAGAAATGCTCCTTGTTATTCCTCTAAGTGAAACATGGTTTCATTGTGATTATCCTTTCTATGAAAAATTGGCAGGGTAATGAATGTTTAGGTTTTTTGTGGCTTTGACCAATTTTGAGTACTTATTGTCCCCCATTGTATATCTCAGTATATCTTTCTTTCAAATGTGGGTTAGATACTGTTAAAAAGACTGTGATTTAGATATAATTATGACACTTAAGTCTTAAGAACCTTTTTCATATTAGTGAGCTAGAGTTGTTTCTCATATGTGAACTGTTATGTAACATGGGGAACCTTCCCTATTTTTTCCCCTCTTTCTCTCCTTTTCAGGAATGAGCTTCCATTCACCCATCCTGTCTGTTGCACAATGGATGTCCGTTCCGTCTGCCTAATCGCCCAAACTAAAACACATTGTGGCAGAACTAGTCTATTCAGAGGATAGCAATAGCCCCCTCACTCCACCCTCTCCCTCAGCATTACACGTCAGTTTAAACATCAGTTTAAACCGCAGCAGTGCAGATTCTCTTGCTGGGGTCTGGATTGCTTTAAGTCGCTGTTTTAGCCGAGGGTGAAGGTAGGTAGGTTTGGGGCATAAAAAAGATTTAGAAACACTAGTACCTCAGTTATTTAAGCAATTCTAGTGTGCTGCTTGAAATAAGGGCTTAACTAGATTTGGAAGTAGTTCCTGTTAAAATTGTGAATTATAAATAATTATAATTTAAAACTTGAAAGAAGGAAAAAAAAATATTGCACACAATGGTGTCGACAACTTTGGCTACGGTAACACTGGTGAGCACGCTCGGCCTGGCCACCCAGATGCCACTAACCGACTACCTGTGGCTACTGGTAGTTGGTTTCGTTATAGCCTTCATTCTGGCCTTTTCCGTGGGTGCCAATGATGTCGCCAACTCCTTTGGCACTGCGGTGGGCTCTGGCGTGGTCACCCTGAAAGTAGCCTGCATCCTTGCTACTGTGTTTGAGACGCTGGGCTCTGTGCTGCTTGGAGCCAAGGTCAGTGAGACGATACGTAAAGGAATCATCGACGTGAACATGTACAATGGCTCGGAGCACGTTCTGATGGCTGGCTCAGTTAGCGCCATGGTTGGTGAGTGGCCTGTAATCAATATTAATGGTACATTCTTTCCTTAAATTTTCAGAGTGTCAAAATCAAAGGCTGACAAATGCAAGACTATCACAGAGGTAAAACTATATATATTAGTGAGTGCTTAAACACTGAATTGCATGTTGACTTACAAAAATCATAATCCTGTTCAGTTGGATCTGGAGCAGTACAACATGCAAAATGCTCAATAAAAATTCTTTATTTTGGCTTATTCTTTAGATGTTGCTGGTTCAGTCTGTCTCTTCCAGCTAATGGTACTCAAACGCTAAATATCAAGAGCCATATTGTGTATCATGAATGGCCATGTTGCTGACCTCTACATAGCTAACAATATATGACAGCTTTTGTGACCTGTTTTGGGGTTGTTGTTTTTTTTTGTTGTTGTTTTTTTTTCCTATTAGTTGAAATCAATTCTTTTCCTAAATGATCTCTCTAAGTGATGTATCATCATAGTGTGGCTCATTTCTTCTTTCTTTCTTTTATCGCTTTCCTCTCAGGCTCTGCTGTGTGGCAGTTACTGGCTTCTTTCCTGAAACTGCCCATTTCTGGGACGCACTGCATTGTGGGAGCCACCATTGGCTATTCATTGGTGGCAAAAGGTCAACAAGGAGTCAGATGGTTGGAGCTTCTCCGAATTGGTAAGTCTGCTAAGTCGGTAAAGAAAATTGACGTTTGGCTTCATTTAGTGGAATACCACATGTTATAGAATGCTTGCTTCTTTTACATATTGCCTGTCTGTGGGAGTGTGGCATGGGTTTCCTGTTGTCGTCTTTTAATTTAAATTACTAGGGCTATTTCAGTGTCTCAACTACTGTGCCCTACATTTTGTGTTCTTTTTATTTTTTTACTTCCAGTTGCCTCTTGGTTCCTTTCCCCCCTTCTCTCTGGCCTGATGTCTGCCGTTCTGTTCTACTTTGTCCGCATGTTTATCTTGCAGAAGGTAAGGACAGGAAGCGTAATATCTCTCCCTGCTTTATCTTTCCATGAGTCATGCTGAGCCATTGAATGAGCATAATGGTGGAGATGCCACAAGGTCATTCTAGCCAGAGAGAAAGCAGTCCCTTTCTCTTGGGCAATAGAGAGCCCTCTTTTCTGTCAGTGTCTTGATTGTAATACAAGGATTATACTAACATGCCCTCAGTTTAAGCCAGCCATCGTAACCTGATATGATAATGGGTGAGCTTTGTCTTTATCGTAGTGACGAGTGTTTGGTTTCTAAGTGTTTTCTTTTTTTGTATCTGTAGAAGGATCCAGTGCCCAATGGCCTGAGAGCCTTGCCTGTTTTCTATGCCGTTACCATGGGAATCAACCTGTTCTCCATCATGTTTACTGGCGCGCCGAGTGAGTATCATTCTCCTGTAGTCTCGCCTTGCACACCTAAGCAGCCTGTGTTGGTAAATAACCCGATTCCCTTAACCTGATGCCCACCTCAGGCCAAACTGCGAAACCACGCTGTTAAGTGTAAACGGTGTCTAACCAGATGGACTTGTGTCTGTATTCTTGACCTCTGTATCAGCCTTTTCTGCCCTTCTTGAACACAGAGGAAAGAAAATAAACAGTGGAGTACAGTTGTCGTCCATCAAACAGAACCTTCATTCTTCAGTTCAGTAGTAGCTATGTTTAAAGCACCACTTTCTTGAGTGCTGATGGCTGTGCATACTTAGGTTTCCTTTTTTGTTTTTTTGTTTTTTTTGGAAATTACACATTGGACCCCTATTAAATGAGCACTTTTTTGCTCCTTTTTGTTTTCTTCTACCTACAGGGATCAACAATTCAAGAAGTCACCTGGCCTGGGCCGTATATGAAGGCTACAGGCCAGAGATACGCACGTAGGAGGGTGTACATGTATACACTCTCAGTAGGCACGGAAAGGTGCATCATGCACATGTGCACGTAGCATAACATACCCCACTAGGCTCATATGCACTCACAGTAACAGGGCTATAAAGCTCAAGTTATGTAGAGCTACACTTGGCTTCAGAAAGATAATTTTGTATATATGCACACACTATTAGTTTGACAGAAAAACACAGTGTACTGAAGTGCAACCATATATGATCTGTTGGTGGTCCAAGACTATGTATAAGACTAACTGTGTATGAGAAGGAAGATGCAAGTCTTGCTAGAGTGATTGATTTTGGCCCACCCAGATGATGTTATCTTTAAATACAACATAATCACATAAGTAATTACTGCTAGATTTACAGAGGCATAAGAGAAGTAGCTCATTCAAATATCATTCCACCATTAAAACCAAGCCACAATTCCTGCTCCATTACCTGTTAGCCACAGTAATGGGCTGATAAGGAAAAGCTGTTAGTCCTGCTTCAGATCAGTACCTTACACACACACACACACACACACACACTCATTTTTATTTGTAGATAGACACGTGGTGTTCTCCAGTCTCCTATTGGGCTCGCAGTCTCGGGCCCACGTAGTTCCCCATAATGGAACCAGATTAACGTGAGGATTAGCCCCGTGCTTTGGCCGCACTCTGTGACTTCGCCATTTCATCTGCTTTGGGATTAGTTTCAGGAGCAGTAGAGCAGAGCAGTTGACGGATCTCCTTCAGCCCCTCCCTCCTCCTCCACAAATGGCCTCCAGGCACAGTTCACTTGGGTGCAGGCTAATCATTCTAAGAACAGTGTTCCTCACTCCTACACCTCGAGGGTGACAGCAGGGCATTGGTTAGTTCAAGCCTGCCTCTGGACATCTGTTGCCCAGCCCAGTTTAGTTACGCCCATAGTCTAGTACATTCGATTGACCTAACCATAGTGTCCTTGTAAGACTGCGTTAAGGGAGTAGTTAAGCAGACAAAAGTATGAACAGAATTCAGCCTTCAAGATGGATCCTACTACTGTTAAGTTATGCAATGTGCTTTTGTCCATTTCTTTAGATAACAGCATATCATACATTGTCAAAAACCAAATGAGCAAATCTATTTGTTTACCAACTCAGTGTGGCATAAGCTATTCTAATTTGTTGGATACACATTTTATCATAAACCATTACATGTGAACTACATTAGCCTCTTAGCTCTAGTTTAAGACTGAAGTTAATTTCACATACCAGACCTTTTTATGTTTATGTAAATTTTTTTTTGCCAAACCACTCCTTTAAATGCTAATTGGGTTCTAGGAAGAGGCTTAGGTGCCTCTGGTATATTGTTTACTTGCTAGAATACGATGCCCTTCATCCCTTTTAACACTTAAGCACTACTTTATTCAGACTTGTTAAGCCACATTCACACTAGTCGTTTTGTAATTTGTGTCATCTTGCAAAGTGGCCGGGATTTATACTGGCCTGGATGATTGAAGACTTGGTGCGGTCAGCAAGCTAGCTTACTCACTAACAATGAACGGTGAAATTTAACTGTCAGATAATTATATACTTGCACTATAGAGCTGCACACTGATAAATACGATAACTGGTGTGGTTGGCAACAGTGGGGTGATGTGTGCAGCTGCATTTAGCCAAGGAGCTAAGATTGCAGTTGCCAAGCTGGGTAACTTGCCTACTGTAAATAGAAAAATCACAAAACTAAAAGTAATATAGTCTCTTAACTGACTGTTCATCATGTACTCTCGCTTTCATGTGTTTATTTATTGCCCGGGGGAAGAAATGTTAAAGGTTTGTTACCGGTTAAAATAGCATTGTCTGCACTTTGAATGTTTATTGTTGCAGTAAAAAGGGCTGCACCTTTCAGAGGTCAACACAGCAAAGTAAGAAACACTATTGGTTAAAGATGCAAATTTGTGTTTTAAAGTTAGCAGAAGTTGAACTGGACGCAAAGTTGCGACACAGTCGTTCAGTGCAACGAATTCCATTGGAATTTGTCATTTTGCACGCAATGCTAATGTGAGTCCTTAAAGAGAAAATACTGAATTGCCATGTAGATCCTTGTGAAAACAGTGCTGCAGTTAACACCAAGAGACTGGTGATTGATCTAATTAGCAGACCCAGTGATGTTGGATCAAGAGAAACAATCTGATTGTGGGGCATTAAGGTGGTGGACGTTAAGTGCCAGTACATGCCTGGGCAATAGGAGTAAGTGTAGTAGCTTTACTATGAGAAAAGCTGTGCGCCAGTTGTTGTCATTTGACTGCTGTTTTTGAGCTTAAAATGGTTACACAGTCAGACAGAACCTATAAAACTCGATTCATAAACAGACAGCGTTTCCTCACTGTGGTGAGTCTGTCCCATTTCTCAGAGCTCCCCTCCCTGTTCTGGGTTTGTTTTAACAAGCTTGTGTGGAGGAAAACAGGAATAGCATAGTAAAATACAGTATACAGGCCTCAGGCAGGAAGATTTGACATACTCAGCTATAGAGAAGATAGGCATGTAAAGGCTAGTGACCCCCACTCAAGAGTAGGATACAGTTACTAAAGCCCAGCTTGGTTTTACTGCTACTCAGCACATTTGTAAATCATGTGAACCCTGCCAGAAATACCCCCAGCCCTCTTTTAATGTATGGGTAAGCAGTTATTCAGCCCAGCTGCCTGGAAAGTTCTATCCATGCACACTGTCCATTCTTTTGTTAGGCTAATGGATCCTTAGTGGTTGTGTTAGCAAGAGAAAGAATAAGGCACTTCTATGCCTTATTTTGTGCTTGTTTTTTGTTTGTTTGTTTTTAAACAAGCTTATTAAATATTTGTAGGTCTGGTTAACAGTGGCCATGACAACTTGCTGTTCTGCTAAATGTTTTAGCATTTCAGAATTTAATATTCCTTTAAAAGACAGTTGGCTTTATGAACAGCGCAGTGGTCTGATTTCCCCTTCGGAACAGCAGGGTGGCAGGGTGTCATGGCCACTTTGAGGCTCTAAATAAACTGAAAAATGGGTGACTGACCTCATGGTCTGCTAGCATGTTTGTTAGTTTTATTGTGACAGCAGACTAATGTGAACGTGTGGTGCCCAAGTTCTGGATCACAAACATGGCAATTCATCAAGATAAAAGCGATAATGTGCTGTTAGGTCACGTAAATTGAAGAGTACACAAGGTTATACTGTGAAGCCGATGCTGTAATCATGAGAAAATAGGCACAGCTCACAATTAAAGTTTGCTTGTTGACCCTTGAATCCAGTTTTTGTAGTGTACGCCCAGGGTGCCTTATTTATTAAGCCACATCAAAAGGCCGAAAAGGGTTAGGCTAACTGGTAGTGACCAAACCCAAATTTCCATTATAATCCTCTCCATAAAGTTTGCTTTAATAGCTGCGCTGTGGCTGTTTTTGGATAGAAAGGTGTAAAGTGCTGTTTAAAATGTTTTTTAAGCTTTTCCCTCTTTAGTGTTCTGCAAGGCCTAAATATGAATTTATAATGCCTCAAATAGCCATAATTTGAGTGTTTCAGAGTATCAGAAGAATCTAATTGATCAGCTTCTAATAACACGTCAAAAACTAAAGTCAAATGTTTGTGCAATGACAGGGTTGTAAAAATGTGTGGTGGTGTGCTTTGTAACATTAAAGGAAATCTTAAAATTGTGTAGCTGCTTGTAGAACTAGAATAGCCACTTTTGGTTTGGCACAGAATGATCTGACAGACATTGATTTAATAGGTGATTTATTACTTCCTATTGTGATGCCAAACCACACGGTACTTTGGCCACACCTAATGAGATTAGAAATAAATTTTCTTCGTTTATCTGGCACTGAGTTATAAACGTTCAAACAAACTTGAGGGCCCTCGAATCGTGCAGTGCAAACACGTTTTCAGAGACATGTGATACAGGCTGTAACTACTGCTCTTACCGTCCTGAATCATAAAACCGTCATCAAATTGTCACTGCAATGAAGAATGGCACTGCACTGTCTGGAAAAACACAACCCCTGTTATTGTGTAATGTAGACCATGGGTTAGTGGGGGTTTATAGGGAGGCGGTTAGGCGCAGGAAGTGGAATTTAAGTTAGGCTGCAATCCACGCTCATTCATTCATCCCACAATGTGCCTGCGGTTTGGCCGCGCCTCTTTTGTTTGGGGACTGTTTGTTCAGAGGTGTTGTGTAGGTCCAAACAGTTTGTGCCTTCTGGACAAAACCCATAGTAAAGACCAATGCCTAACCTATGTTTTGCTGATGAAATCAGCTGATATTAAGATGAATTTATCAATAGCTGTGAAAATGCGGCTGGTGAAGCACTGATAATAAAATTTTGGTTAGATTTCTATTATATGATAATAGAAAATTAATATATAATACGATTGTGTATTTAATTCAGAGGTTTTCAAATCTGAACCTTGACTCCAGTTTCTGGTCCTGTTTTTTTGTAATCACTAGCAGGAATTTAACAGTATACTGTTACACTGTATAATACTGTATGGAATCATTGTGTCGTGACCAGCGTGTTAGCTTGTGGGTAGTGTCTTAGCATTCGGCTTGTGTCAAATGGAGCAATATTGTATGTCTTTGAACAATTGATGCGAATCCTAACTGAGTTCTGTTGTAATAATCAGTGTTTGTATCAAGGACTGAAATGGATTCAAGGATCAAAGTTAAAAACCTCTGATCTAATGTACGTTTTTTCTATATGTGGAGAGGAATTATGAAAAACATGAGCTAATTAAGACACCACCAACAGTACTAAATATAATGTAAAGAATGTATAAAAGTAAAGGAAGCTCTGCCTCAATATTTACATTTTATAAAGCAGTTTGAGTTCAAGAAATGAGTGACAATCATGTCAGTCATCAAAGCGCTGTTTGAACACTGTTGGTCATTTTTGACAATATAGAATTATATCCACTCATATTAATTATCAGAATGTTTTAGCTCTTTTTATAAATACTTTCGTTGGCAGTTCCTATATCAGTCAAGCTCTAGTAAATGCTGAACCTGCAGCGGTCGCTTTTCACATGTCCTGAACAGACTCTCTGTGGAAGTGGAGATGGCCAGGCTAACAAATGGGCCTTCAGAGCTGCCCTTTTTAGCACTGCTCTTATTTTTGGGCAACCACTGTTGCCCCTCCGGTCTAGACCACTGTCCACATGCCACACCTGTCTAGTTCCTTCCAGCGGGTATTGAGTCATTCCTCTGAAAGGGGAGGACAAAAAAGCAAAGCATGCTTCCCTTCTCTCCTCCGCTGAAAAATGCGTCACTGCCCCCCTCTCATCCGTCCTCCCCCAGAGGAGTTGAGCAGGAGTTGCATAACTGGAGCCTGTCGCAGCAGTGTGGCATGCACTCGCACTGCAGTGTGCTGCAAGAGCATGTGAGTGCAGGGAGTGAGTCAGCGCAGGAGGAGAAGAGAGTCAACCGGCCCCCACTGCCCTTTGCCACCTCCACTTTCACCACTGCCAGGTGTTTTGAGGTCACTTTCACCATAAACTATTTAATTAAATTATATTTCTCTCCCGTTCTTACTCTTGTTTTCTCTTTTTGTTTTTTCTTTTCTTTTTTTTCTTTTTTATATTTGATTTCTTTCTCTCATTCTTTTTTCATTCTTCTTGCTCTCTTTGCTTTTCTTATTTTCTTTTTCTTTTAAATCTGTTTTCTTGTCTTTTATTTTGCTTTTCCTTTTTTCATTTTTTTTCATTTCTTTCCTATTTCTTGGTTTTTCAGTTTTATTCTTTTCTATTTCATTTTCTTATTTCTTTCATCCTTGCACTCTTTCTTTAATTCTCTGGTTTTCTTTTCTCTTTTATTTCAGTTTTCTCTCTTATTCTGTTTTGCTCTTACTCATTTTGTGGTTTTCTTTCATATCACTTTCTCTTACATTTCATTCTCTCTTCTGTTTAATTTTCTTCTGTTTAATTATTTCTTCTTTCATTTCCTCTTAGTGTCTGTCTCCCTATTTTATTCTTTCTCTTCTTTCTTTTCTCTCTAGTCCTGAATATTTTCAGTACCACCTTCTCTGTCGTTCATTCCTTTTTTATTTTTTTTATTCATTTTATTCCTTTTCTTTTCTCTTTTTTCCACCACTGTGCTGACTTTTTTATTTTCTGTCAACACGTTGCGGTGCTGGTGGTTGTGGTCTCGGGGGGAGTCTGTCTATAATGGCCATCTTCTGTGCCAGCATTCATCCCTCAGTATGCTGGTCACATTTCCCTTCCACATTTTGTGCAGTTTTGGCACTGAAATGACCTCTCTTCATGTGAGCGGTCACACTTAATCACTACCCCCCCCCCTTCTTTTTGGACATCATGCTCTTTTTGTCCCGGTTACTGAGAAGTAAGAGGAGGTGGTCTACAGGGAACTGTGACCCTGCGGAAGCCTTTTAAGGCATGTGTCCTTGGTGCACATCTGTGACAGTGGCCAGTCATGCGCACTGCAGCGTTGTTTCCACGCTGTTCACATTTTCCTGTCACCCTGACTGTTACGTAAGCGCGCCGACCAGACGTGTGCCTGCATTCCATACCTAACTGACACATTTGCCACTTGGTTGCAGACGTTTCTGTGCTGTGACTTTGATATTCCTCTTAATTGGAATTTGCTTTACAGTTTTAATATTCCTAATTCCTATTTTGGGTTATCAGCCTGTCAGTCAAATATATTAATAGTTGAGTAACCGTCATCAAGTGAATTTTAAGCCATGAAAAATGTTTAAATCTTGTAATCAAATTCAGTCGATTATCATCACAGTCAGAGTTATTTTTTTCACAGTTCAAACTCAAACTATTATTTTTTTTGTCATTTTTGCCTTTCCTAGAAGCTTTTATTCAGTCCCGGTGTTTCTCTGTTCCACATTACTAACAGTCAAGAGTGCGTTATTTATTCCTGCCCGTTCCTTGTGCCAGTTAGGTTCTATAATGGTAGCGCATGCTGCCTCTTGTCTCAAAATCGCCTTTCCTCTCTTCCCCCGGCATTTGTCCGTATTCCCCATCTCTGCCCCCTTTCCTGTGGACGCTGGGTCTGCAGTGCTGGGATTTGATAAAGTACCCTGGTGGGGAGTCCTGCTTATCTCCATCGGATGCGCTGTCATCACTGGCATCATCGTCTGGTTTGCTGTTTGCCCCTGCCTCAAGAAAAAGATTGAACGTAAGTAACAGTTTATTTAATTTATGTTTATGTTGGTGATTGTCCTGAAAATATGGTTTTGCTTTGTTTTTTAATCTGCAACACAAGATGTTTATCATTACACCATGCAGAATAGCTAATTAAACTAAATACATTTAATCTGCGCTCTGCATTAGTGTGACCTGTTTTGTTAGGACCACACAAATGATTTTTGACACATTCAGCCTTTAACATTCCAAAATGCATGCTTTCAGTTTTGACCTGAAATTGGTAAGTATTTTACTATAAATTTTTTTTAAGCGTAAATATCCTTATCAGCTGCAATTCGGTGCTAGCCTGGTAATGTGGACCTAAATTATGATACATTCCATCTGCCAGATTGATAACTACAAAATGAGTCAGATTTGCCATTAACTGATTAAATATTATAAACAGCACAATAAAATTTGTTAATTTGTTACATCATCTCCCATAACTTTGGCCTTGGGGCATCTGGATGTCCTCATGTGAACTCGTGACAGATATGATGTTGACGGATCCTGTTCTGTCCAACTAGTTCTCAGTGCTTAGAGCCTTTGACTCATCGTCGTCTGTTAGAAACGACGTGCCAGTATGACTGCTGTACTGACCTGTTGTCCCAGTGCAGCCAAGTCACATGGCAGTTCTAAAACCCTGGATTAAAACTTGCTTGGGCTGCATTACAATGACAGTGCTTGCTTTGAACTTAAAGAAGCCCCACCTGTAGATTAAGTTGGGATTAAATGTCCAGTTGTTGGACATTATAGCTCTTTGTGTTTCCAGATAATGAGTCGTGTTGGTCCAACCACCTGGATAGTCAGTCAGAGGCTGTCTAGGGAAGTCTAAGGACCAGTGATGTAATTGGGTCAGAATTATCCAGTAATTGGTTTTTGCCTTTTGGACTAGAATAGCCCTTGTTGGTAGGCAGTCACTGTTGTGAGGTTAAGGGTTTGACTAAGACTTGAGCTATATGTTGATGTAGCTGTAGGGCAAAAAATGGATCACAAGCTTTTACAGTTTGGGATGGTAATCTAATAATATGATTATTTTGACAGTTAAGTTTTTAAAATAGGCCAAACAATAAAAAGTTACTAAGTAATAGCCTAATTTTTTCAAGTTTTCAAAGATTCAAAAAATCTTATTGGTAAAAGAACTAGATGGACAGATGCAAAAATATGCATATAAATGGTTGTGTAAACCAACTAATAAGAGTAAAAGAATCAGTTTGTTCTAATAGAGTTAAGTAGAGTAGCACTGACTGCCCTACCACCTATTTGATATTAAGCTAATCATGTGGGTCCAGGATGATGCCCACAGGTTATGTCAGCTAGTTCGACCGGCCTTGAAAATAGGTTAAGACAACATTAAACAGGCAAACACTCCAGAGGGGCCTCCAGAAGGGTCAGTCACTTTGTAAAAAAGCACCATGCTGAAAGATAACCTGGAGACCAGTTGTTTAATCATGTTTGTTTTGTACTGTGCTGCCAAAGCATATGTATTAGGTATTATGCCACTATAATATAATTTAACTGCTTAGGAATTTAGTTCATGTTTCATGGCAGGGTTTTGTTTCTGACTAAACATTTTAATTTTAACATGCATGCAACAATTTATCTGTAGTGGCCACAGTATCAGGAATTTAGGAAACATGCCATTCTCTTGTCCTCCAGCACCAGATTTTAGAGCCAGGGTCCTTTTGGCATTTGGTTTTCTTTCACTGTTGTGACACTCCCATGATAATGCTCTTTCTCTCAAATGTTAGATTACAAGTCCTCTACAGGAGACGTCTTTGTAACACCTGTGTTCTAGTTTCTCCACCACTCTTTGAATGCCAGCATGTTTGGACAGGGACATGTTGGGTAATCTTTTCTCCTCGTTTTTTTTAGGTGAGATCAAGTCTTCCAGCCCCTCAGAGAGCCCCCTGATGGAGAAGAGGGAGGTGGTGGAAGCACATTGTCCAATTCTCAAAACAGTTCCTGAGGAACCCATGTCCACACCAGCCTCAAATAACCCCCAGCCAGCGCCGCCTCCTGAGGAGCGCAGGGTCACCTTTGACATTGGTGATTTAGACGATGCTGAAACAAAAGAGACAGAGACGAGCAACGGTAATGGTGAGTCCTTTAGGAGACAAAGATTTGCATGGAGCGTGGAAGAGAGAGAGAAGCATTTGATCTTATATTACACAAAGAGACAGGAAAAAAATGTGTATGTGTGAAGAAAATTCATTTAAGAAGAAAATTCAATTTAATATGCGTTAATGTAAGTTTTGCATCATTTAGAATTGTGAAAAGCACTTGTTTTCAAATATGTAAAAGTAATTTCATTAATTTTTTTTTTATGAAGTTACTAGGTGTTTTGCAGTGCATGCTATGAATAGTATGTCTTGTTAATGTGTTGTTTGTAATCTGTGTTCCTTTTTAATATTAAAAATAACGTTTTTAATTTATTTACACCAGCTCTGAAGGCTGCTCATGTTCAGTTCAACACCGGCCCAACGCATGTGCCCAGCAATGGCTACAGCCAGTACCATACAGTCCATAAAGATTCTGGCCTTTACAAAGACCTGCTCCACAAACTGCACCTGGCCAAGGTCGGTGACTGCATGGGTGAGGGTGGAGACCGACCCATCCGCCGAAATAACAGCTACACCTCCTACACTATGGCCATCATCGGCCTGCACGGCGAGATCAAACCCCGCGACTCCGACTTCCGGGCCTCTGAGGATGGAGACAAGGACAAGGCAGGTGTGCAGGAGAGGAAGAGGATCCGCATGGACAGCTACACAAGCTACTGCAATGCTGTGGCTGAGCACGGCACCCCCGATGGCCTTGGAGACGGAGAGGTAACTCTGGAGATGGGAGAGGAGGACCGGGAGAGCAGCCGAAGCTCGTTGGAAGAGGACAGAGCCGAGGCAGATAAGCCAGAAGTTTCCATTCTCTTCCAGTTCCTGCAGATCCTCACTGCTTGCTTTGGCTCCTTCGCTCATGGCGGAAACGACGTCAGGTGCGGGACGGTTTGAGCAGCCATTTCATTGAATGATATTGGTGTTAATAGTGATAGTAGCAGTGCTTGAGTCACTGGTCAGTCGCCTAAAATTGCTTACAATAGTTGAACACAAAGTAACAAGTTCCAGATTACACCAGTTAACTTTGTTTTTACTGCCTGTGAACTTTCAAAAAATGTTGTAAGTCCTTTGAGGAGGCAGTAACATTCCAGCTGTTTTCAGCACTTTGACATCTAGCAGTAGATGTTTGTTCCCATTTGTGAAAGTAAAAATTGTTCAGGGTAACAATGCCCAGGACAAATTGCAAGTGCTAACCTGTTCGGATGGGTAACTATCTGGCCCTAAAGGTCTTTGATTGAGGTCTTGAGGAAGGCCAAAGAACATTTTTTAGCTCTGACTCACTCACCTTCTGTATTCTTTCTGCAGTAATGCTATTGGTCCACTGGTGGCGCTGTGGCTGGTCTATCAGAGTGGGTCTGTGGAGTCTAATGCTCCGACTCCTATCTGGCTGCTGCTGTATGGTGGAGTGGGCATCTGCACTGGACTTTGGGTGTGGGGCCGTAGAGTCATCCAGACCATGGGCAAGGACCTGACCCCCATCACCCCCTCCAGGTATGTGTGCTTCTTTGTCATTCTGAGCCTCCTTCAACTTGGCACTGGTTTCATCCCACCCCACTTGCACCAGACTAAACCAGGAGTGAACAATGATTTAGCTGTAGTCATTCAGACTGTACAACAGGGAGTGCACAGCTGAACGAGATTGTGTTTCTCCATCTCCGATGTGCAAACATAAGTGTAACATAAAGGCAAAGAGCTGGAGTAGCCGCTGCCTTACAGGACACTGCCCTCTTTGTTTCACTAGTCAAGAAAGTGACAGAAATGTTTACCCATCAATCATTGCTGGCCTTCAGGATTGCCTGTTGTCTTTTTGATGTAGGTGTTTTGAATGAAGGTATATGATTAACTGGAGTTCTCTTAAACAGGTAGTTCATCCAAAAAGCAAGTTTACCATATTTTCATACCATAAATTTGATTTCACTGTAAATGTAGTGGATCATCCAAGACATGTTTGGTGTCTGAAGTTCACTTCTTTAGTTTTGAACTTGAGCTATTAGGGTAATGTTGCTAAAAGCAGTGGAAGCCTGTGCTCGTAGTGTCATGCTAACTGCATGTCTAAATCATCCGACTGTTGTCTCAAACTGCAGTGGCAGTTTTTCACAATTTCACAATCACTTTGTTTGACTCTTACTGTCCTATATACAAAGCCTGGGACACCAGACATGTCTTGGCCCATCATCCCAATTTTGGCTACAGTGAAAATTACATTTTTTGATAAACTGTTCCTTCATACCATAGTCCATGTATTAGGGAATGTGAGGGCACTGCTTAGTGACTCAGTAATGGAGTGCAGTCATTATCAGAGAAGTAGGCAGTTTACTAGATGAAATATGAATGGGATGGCTCACAGTGCTTAGTGTGGTGGTTCTATTACAGGAAGTTTTGTCTTCCAATGAAATGATCAATTTGCCCTGTTGGTAAAGGGGCAAGCAGAGGAGGGAAAAACGCTCATGGTGATGTGTGCAAGTGTTTTTGAGACGTTGACTTAGCTTTCAGTTTCGTGTTTACAGGACTCTCCACATTCGAAGAAAACAGGAGCCTGTTCTTGCGTGACTGGAAATAACTGCCCAAGGGTGTTGCTAAGATTGCAGTCGTGTGGAGAGACTTGCCTATTTGTACTCTTAGTAAGCTCATTTTTGTTTTCATTACAGTGGGTTCAGCATTGAGTTGGCCTCTGCAGTCACCGTGGTAGTTGCCTCCAACATCGGTCTTCCTGTCTCCACCACCCACTGCAAGGTGAGCGAAGGGCCAAGGGCCCACACTATGCAAAACTGAGCTAAGGCTAATGCAAAGCAGGCCAATGGCAGGGCCTATTTGAATGGGGTGGAGAACTACTGATTAGAGTATGGGTGGATAAAATAGCAGGCAAACTGGGAATTATTTCTCCTCCTCTAGTGGTAATGTGTACTGTTATAATCATTATTTAACATCTTTTTTTACTATTTATTCAACTCTGACATTACTTTGTCTCGTCTTTTGTCATACCTAAGTGTACAGTATGAAGAAGCAGAATGCATTTGACATAACTGAGTAAGAATAGGAAAAATGATGGTCTAATTGCCCTGTCTGCTCTTAGGTGGGTTCTGTAGTAGCTGTTGGTTGGATGCGCTCCCGGAAGGCCGTGGACTGGCGTTTGTTCAGGAACATCTTCATGGCCTGGTTTGTGACGGTGCCCATCTCTGGCCTCATCAGCGCTGCCATCATGGCTCTCTTCACTTACGTCATCTTCGGGTGAATCCTCTAGAGCTCGGAGCCTGCTTGCACCCTCTGCCATCTGTAGCTAAGAAACGCAAGTGAGGTCAATGTTAGGTGCTGTAGTGCCCTCTTTTGCTGCCTCGCTACGTTTGTTTTATTTTTTTCAAGCCCCTGTCTGTAATAGGGACAATGTAAAAATTATATATATATAAAAAGCTAGAGCCTGTGATTCTTGGCTTGCCGCATATTGCAGACTGCGTTGACAATTCTTGTGTGCATTCAGTGTGTCTGCACCAGGTCACATGCCTTTGGGAACAGGTTTCTTTTCTTCACTTTCTTTACTGACTAGATGAATTGTTGCCATCTAAGCATACTCACCTCTTTGTAAATAGATACGCAAAAGGAAGAAAAAACATTTTTCTTTTTTAATTATGTAATTATGTACATATAACTATTCCAGGTTTTTTTAGGTGACAAAAAGAACAATTACAGTGCAGTATTAGCCGCCTTCTGAGATGTTTCTACACTCTATCCATTACATACCATTCACTGAGTACTTGGTTGCAAACGAGGTTGCCGGTATCTTTTTTTTTGTTGTTTTCTCTATACCTTGAAATGACAATGTTAAATGGTGTAAGAAATGTTAGGGTTTTTATGTTCAGTTGTAAAAGTGAATGTGCTGGTCTTGTCCTTCCCTCACACAGTTCACTAGACTTGCGGCAAAGCTTGTGGCGGCCACAAACGGAGCCTTATGACAGATCTTGTGAGGTCCAGTTTTCAGGAAATTAGTTGTTCGCAAAGCCCTTCTTGATAGTGTTGAAGTGTTCCTCTGAGTGAGCTTGTACACAACACACACACACACACACACACACACACACACACACACTTTGTTCATGAACACTACAAAAAGGCCAGTTTACTGTTCTTTAGCCAGTTTTAATAGTTCATCCATGGTGTCTGGGACCTTTTTACCTTTCACCACTCGTTCTCTTCTTTTCCTCAGTGTGGTTGAAGTCATCATTCCAGTGTCTGTTTCTTTATTATTGCATACAGAGAGACCAGTTTTGAGTAATTACGATGCATTTGGCCGCACTTAATGAAATGGCCCCCAAATGTTTGCAGTAGGTAATTGATCAGCATATGGCGGATTATGTACCACTGCTGTTGAATACTGATTAATTGTAAATAGGACAAGCTCACTTGTCCAGACTGCAACTGCCCTTCATAAATAGTTTTTTTTTTTGGTTTGGGGGCAGGTATGCTTACATTTTTCTCAAACTTTTTTGGCCAAATGAGTAATTATCCAAGGGAACCTCTCATTCACATTAGTATAGGCCTCAGCAGAGGTTTCAGTTAAAGGAGCGGACCACCCAGAGCTGCTGAATGAATTGTGGACCAGTTACTTTCATTCATTAATAGCACTTTTGGGTGATGCAGGTTGCTGTAACAGCTTGAACAACTAACAGATGCAACTTTTTAAAATTTATTGCGACCCTTCAAGATTTATTCAAACGACTAATTCCTTTTTGGGAATGCTTGCATTACTGTTTTTGCTGTGGCGGTTGCCGTGACTACAGGAACAGTACCGAAACACTCACTTAAGTTGACCTTGAGGAATTGAAGGGCACGAAGCTTTATAATGCTGGAAATGAGACCTTAAGATTTAAACTTTTTGTTCTCCTGTAAAACTTGAGCGCACTCAGTCAGCCGGTGCAGCGTATCATGCTTCGCTCCAGCTTGCTAAACCCTGACGTTCCTTCTGCTCGCTGTAGATCAGTGTTTTTAACATCTACAGGTCTGTAGTTCCACCTGCAGTGCACAGGTTTTGTTTCTAACGCAAGTCAGTCTGCATTTACAAACCAGGAGTGCTGATCTAGAATCGGTTTTTGTGACTGTCATAAGTGTAGAGGAGTCTGATCCGGGACCAGTCTTGTCTTTATCTTGGAAGGGGAATTCCACAAGTTTTTCAAAATTTATGCATAATTAAATGGTTATGATGTGAACAACCATTCAGAGTGGTTTGGTGTGAAACGCTCTGTTCTAGAGACACTTGAATCAGTTGTTCACAGTGGTGGTGATAGGAATCTGACGTCCACAGTTTATCGAGCTACAAAGCTATTATACATAATTAAGGGTGCATGGCCAATCCCCATATTTAGTGTTTTTCAAGTACAGAGAAGTGCAACACCTTATTTGTAGAGCATTACAAAGGAATTAAAATGAATAAAATGCATATTATACCAAGTTTGCCTTTCAATTTGAAAAATATCAGCAAAATCTAAACATCTCTCGTATTATTTCAAAAATTAAGCAAATATCTGCCTGTTTTGATACCTCCATTCTAATCTCATTGTGCTTCCCTACACAAGTAATTATAAATACTTTTAAGACATTGTTTTTGCAATAATTTTGACTTCAAAGTTTTCGGCCTGAAACATATTTTGTAAAGTCCATTTATGACACTAAGGGCAACATCTCATCAGTCCACTTTGTTTACATCTTTGTGACTTGACTTATTCAGAAATTCACTTTTAAGCCCCAGAAGGACTTAATAATGTAAAGATTGCAGAAAAGTGAACCGGTGCATTGCAGGTGGACTGCAGGACTGCAGGTGGTCAGCACTGTTGTAGGGTGAATGCATCTACACGTGCAGCATAATGTATTTAAGTGCACATAGGGTCACAAGTGCTAGCACCTCCAGCAAAGTGAATGATTTGGTTAGATAGGAGAGAGACCGCTTTTTTGAGTGTTACACCGAATGTGCTAATATTTTAGCAACAAATGAAAGCTAATAACTACCAGTTAGCTGTTAGCATTATGCTAATTGGTTAGGCATTGGCTTTCATTTATTGTTGGCAGTGTTGGCAATTATTTGGTACTCTCTTGTTGAGTAGTGGTGGTGTCACTCTGTTCCTGAAACTGGACAGTAGCTTCATTGTTTATCAGTACCCCCTGCTGGACTGCTGGGGGTCTTGCAGTTGCTGCTGTGTAACCACCGTTAAGAGAGTGGCAACTTGGCTGCCGCACTTGAAGCATCTAGACCTTTAGAGTTGCTGTAGTTGCCTTAACTTTTTGTTTTTGATTGTGTGTGTTTTAGGAACCAAAGAAAACAAATGATTGGTGTGTATATTCTAAGCATATACTCTTTTGTCCCAGCTGGACAAAGAGTGGAAAAAGGAAAAAAAATAAATAAATACATGCTTTTTGGGGAAACTTGCTTGTCTGTTCTTTATTCACTACCTTCTGACCCTTTTGTTTGCCCATAGCTTGCCAAACCATACAGAAATAACCACACACTAGCTATGGTAATAAATTCATTTATTGAGAAGAGTACGTTGCTCCTTTCATTCTCTGGCAGATACATAGGTGCTTCTTTCATTTCACAGCATCTTCTGACTCATTCCTCCAAAGCTGCGGATAAATAAATTTATTCCATTAATGATATCCAGCATTTACGACGCTGTTATCCTCTTACTGTAGATTGTACACTAAAGCTCAGCTTTAACCAGGTGAGCCATCTGAGACGATATCAGATGCTCTGAAAGTTTGCCAAGAGACCTGTTGACATGCTGTTCCCTTCGCTAAGCCTGAATGGGCTCGCCAGGCTGTGGCCGTGACTATGCATCTTCGGTCCAAAAATAAGCCAGGACAAAGCAGGCAAGATGAATCAAGGCAAGCGCAGCAGCTGGGGCCTCGTGATTGCGCTGGCCTGGATATCTGGCCCAGATTTGCTGCAACAACGCAGTCTACGGCGCAATAAATACTGCTTCTCCAAAGCTCTAAAGCCACCAAGGCAAACAACTGTGATACGGAAAGTGCTCATTTATGCTCTTAATATAAAACGTGGACAATGTGTAACTAGCCAATTCTTCCAAAACACTTTTGTTTGTGTGATACTGAGGGCGGATCATTAAAGTGAAGTTTTGAGGCCAAGTTTAGTGAAAAATTGAATAGACAAGAGTGGCCAGAATTCAGGCTTTAAGAACACTGCTTGTACTGGTTTAACTCTGCAATATGCATTTCACTGAATGGAAAACGCAGATTTTCAGAACTCTTAAATGTTCGTAAACTTCTTAAATTCCCAGGCATAGTACAGATCTAAGATTTATGTATCTACATGGAACGCAGTGCAAACTGGGTGAGTTAGTAAGGCATGGACATTCACTCCTATTAATGGGGTTAAATCTGTTTTTTTAAACTGTCAGGTCTGTACTTTTATATCTTAAGCAGCCTTGGAATATATAAGACCACCCAAAACCCAACAAAACTACAGACTCTTTAAACCAGCAGAGCCCAGCTGTTCCTGCACATGGAGTCCTAGTGCCATGTTGAGTTCACATCCAACTCCTCATCCTAAATGCAGTGCTGATATACTATTACTGCCATAAGAAAACCTCAGATTTGTGAAACTAACTTTGTAGGAGGAGGAAAAACTGTTCTAAACATCTGTTATAACTCATTTAACAACTAAATTTAGTGAGGTGAGGAAAAACGCTACAGAACTTTTTGTGGTTGGTCTAAAGTGATTAAGGGGCCGAAGGAAATTAGACCGTATACGTTAATAGGTTAATGTACCTTGAAAATGAGTTTCAATAACTGAAGTGACATTAAAATTGCATGTTAGATTCATCACGAAATGTTCATACAGTGTAAAGGAGCAGCTGATGTTTACAAATGATGTGCGTATATATAGTTTTCATATGACAGGTGTGTGGGATTAAGACTAGAGCCATGATAGTCCTTTGAACTAAAGTGTTACCTCCTTCTTCTTGGGATGCATCCTCAGAGTCTTCATCTGCAGAAAGAAGAGAAATATCTAAGCTCTGACAAAAACGCAGTAATATTTCAGTGTTCGAGATTTACATATATGCTAGTGCATTACATTACTATGATACAGCTGTGTCTTTTCCTATTAACTCCAAACCATACATACCACGTATCTAATCCTAAAACTTAATCCTGGAACTCCACACATAACCTTAATCATCATACACTTAGCCTATTTCTACCTCCATTCCTGTATGTATATAGACACACACACACACACCAACCGACTTCATTAAGCACACCTTATATCATCTCCACTTACCATATAGAAGCACTTCAGATTGTTTCACTGCATACTTTGTTACCCCCCCACCCTATAGGTGAAACAGTCACAGCAGCACTGCTAAGTCTGATCCACTCGCACCAGTGCAACACACACTAACATGCCACCACCACATCAGTGTCACTGCAGCACTGAGAATGACCCACCAACCAGGTAACACCTGCTCTGTGGTGGTCCCCTTTTGAATCCTACTGTGTATTAAATTACTAAATATTATATTAATACTATAGATACTATACTATACTGTAAATAACACTTAATAAGACTTAAGAACAATAACTCATTAAAAAGACTCATTTAAGCCCAGGGAGTCATATGTTGAATGATGGGTACATGTTGTCCCAGCAGTTGTTTGCAGCTTGAATATCTGCTCTTTACTGCAATCACGCTCCCTCTGATGGTCTTTGATAGAAATATATGGCAAATCTGCATTATGTAGTCAACAGACTGAACGTACCCAGGTCTTTAATCTCCTCCACTTCGACATGTTCTGAAATCACAGAAAGAGAAACTTAAGCAGACAGAAAGAGGAGCAGAGACACTGAACCAGCCCGCCAGCTCAGACCTACTTATGTAAATAGTAACATTTGATTAGCTAAATTTGGAGCAGACAGAGTAAACTATTAAAATCACAGGCTGTTTTTCTTTGAGGTTGTTTTTTGTTTTTGTTTCGTCACAAAAACAAGACGTAGAGGTTAAGAGGTCGAATTTTCCACAACATGTTCTAAACCCACATGTTCTCAACGACCTACTTCATTTTTGGTCTTATTTTCTGACTTGGGTCGACATGCTGCCTTATTTATTTTAAAGTGGGACTTAAGTGGGCCAAAATATAGGCCACCGTTCAGTGTGTACACTAACACACTTCATTTATGCTGACATCTGAAATCAGAAAACACACATATTCCAGATATATTTATATCGGCCCATATAACCATGTGGAAAGTTGGCTGACTTTTCTTTTAATCAGAGGCCCTGAGTTGAAGAGGGGGCTCTGCATTTGCCTTTGGGTTTCTCTCTCAGTCTTAAAAGCAAAGTGTATTAAAAGAATATTGATTGTAAGACAGGGGGCTGCCCCTATGTGTCATTCACATATTCAATAGACCTGTATTCTTTTATTTATACAATTATATATATATATATATATATATATATATATATATATATATATATATATATACCCCTGATTAAACTATGTTGTGTTGATTTTTTTGGCAAATTGTAGTGCAAGTTTCTGTTCATCCAGTTACATATATATATATGAAAGGTGGTCATTATCATGCTTGTGTAATTCATGCAAACCTTTGTTTATTAAAGCAGAAATGGGTGATCAGTTAATTAGCACTTACTGGCTTAAGAAAACTTAATAAGGGCATCGTAATGAAAGTGAAATCTCTGCTGTGTCTGTTTGATAAGGGTTGAGATTTGTCAGAAAGATAAAAAGTAAGATCATGATGACTCGACAGAATTTACAGGGCAAAATTCACCAGAAGCTGGATACATTTGAAAAGCTGATTTCACACTGTGACCTTAAGTGGGAATACTCACTATCAGCCTCCATTGATTCTTCTGTAGAACAATAATAATATAATAAACTCTTACAGTAAATCGTTCGCTGCTGAGAGATTCAGTGCTGCCCTCTGGTGGAGTGGTAGCTTTGTGTGCAGCATTGACTCACCTTCTGACTCCTTGCTTTCCTCTTCCATTGTTTCTAAGGAAGTGAAAAACGACTTCGGTTACTTTAGACCCACATGACTTGCTAAACTTGTTTTCTAACTTGAAGTTAACCGTGACTCTTACCCAGACTCTCAGCCGCTGCGTCCACTTCTGCTGCAGCTTCTTCATCTGTCAGATGTGACACAGTATGTTAGTTGCTGACCATGAATGGTGGTGGAGTTAAGAGATCTAGAAGGTTTTTAGGCATGACTTTCTCTCTTACCATCAGTGTCCCCCTCTCGTGTCATGTGTGCAACCTCAGTCTCCTCTTCTTGTGTCATTTCTGAATGAACTAATAATACATATGTTTATAAAAACATGCCATGGCTGCAATGAAGAGAGACAGGCCTTATAAAAAAATAAATAATCTCTGCTACATGAAAGAGTGATGCAGTGAATCTTACCTTCTATTTCATCTCTCGTAGCCTCTATAGGAAAATTATTATATAGTGTCACTTCAAGATCATTATAATTTGAACATTCTGTTTAGTGCTTATGCAAATTTCACTGATATCAGCATAGTACAGTGAACTAAAACAACTATTTGTTTTGTTATCCCACCCCCAAGACACATCCACGTCTCTCCCTTCTTATTTTGTAATTATAAAACACTGATAATAAACATAGATGTAAATATATATACATTGACCAAATACCTAAATAAATAAAATAAAAACAGACTAAATGGACAAACTAAGTAAATAAATCAACACACAAATAAAACAATATAAAACAACAACAATAATAATAAAAATATCATTCTAATTCAAAAGACTATTTGAATTCCCTTATTCAGTTTTTGTTATATAACATAATAGGACATAATAGCACTTCTCACCCATGAAGGCTTCATCCTCTAGACTTTCTCCCTCTGCAAGTCAGTGAAGGCAAAAAATAAATATCTGAATATTTGCCAGAATGACATCACAAGCTAATAGCTAATGGCACTTTCCATGAATAGAGTTCAATTTATGTCCCATTACCTTTAAAAGCAATTGCTGATTTTTTTATTTCTCTAAAAAGCGAAGGGATCTGTACTATATTAGCATTTAAATGATCACAAAAACACTTAAAATGTCTGTATCCACCATTAATATGCTAATTGTGGGCTCTCCCACCTCTCTGACATTGAACTTCACTTTGAAATATATGTATTAAAATGTTCCAGTAACACATAATTACAATATTATTTGCTAAATTTCTAAGCAATGTAACAATAAAAGAATGATTTTTCCTATTCATTTATCTAATTGACCTAAAGAAAAAAAAAGCATTTTAACTTGTGTCCCACATTTTATGCAGCCCTGTTACGCAAACCTGCCCCCCTCGTAATAAAAATTGAGCATTCCATTTATTATGATATATACAGGACGTTGCATCATCTTGT